GTCTCACGAGCCACCGGTGGTGATGCGCCGTGCTTCCTCCCGTAACCAGTTCGGTAACAATATGCGCCAGGACATGTGATTGCGCCCTCATACCGACGACTGACTCCTGCCGCTGCGCTGCGATTCTGTCCTCCCTGGCGTCCAGTCTGATCTTGGTGCAGCGGTCCGAGTCTGTAGCCCATATTCGGTTACCGCGGGCGTGGACTGCAACCCAACGGTAGCATGAGGTCGAGGGAAAGGGGCTAGAAAGCTTTCTATGAGAGGGTTACAACGCTCAGTCTCCTAGTTCCAAGCCATGTTTAGCTTGTATCCGTCACGGGACTTGAGTTCTGATGTGCTGTGCTGGCGACTGACAACAGGCCATGGCCATCGCAGGCTGGGTTCTTGCGTTCTACCGGGCCCGGCGCATGTAAGTTGCGGACTCCAAACAGAATCTCGAATTGCGACTGAGTACTGCATCACTCGTGGCTGGAATGTTACCAAAAGCTGCGGTCGCTCTCCGTGGGTCCTGATTGAATCGTGCAGCATTGAAGCCTATGCCGTGACTCAACAACTGCACATATTGAGTCGAGCAACGAAGCAGAAGGTAGTCATGCCAGAAATTACACGAGCCGATTCTCTGCAGAATGACGACTTATCCGTCGAATTGTTGCTATTGCAACGTCATGAAGAGGGATACGTGGTCGGCGGGTGACCAGACAACGCGGAGTGGGCATCGCCACCCGAGACCTGGTGTGACAGCATCATTGATAGTTTGCAGGCTGCCCTCGCCAAACACATAAACAATAGCTGTGCTCTCCAAAGACTGGGGTGAGATAATCCAGGCGGTTGAAGGCGTCAGCATGAATCAGACTCTTCAATTCTGCCATGCTCTGACGAGACCTTAGAGTAAGTCATGTAGTCAATGGCAATGTCAAAAGGGGCAACGTTGAAGCAATCCAAACACAACCACGACACTTGGCGAACATCACCGTGAGGAAAAGCACGTACTTTCACTTCAATGAGCCTCGCTCCTGGCGGTATAGCTGTTTCACTTCACTCAGTGACAGGATCGCCCGACTCGAAGCTCAACTTGCCTACCCTATAGCTAGACCGGCGAACTGCCGGTTGTGAATATCGCCGCCCTTCGATTGACATGTACCTGACCACTTGGAGGATTCCGCTCCATACGCACCGCTGGTCTCCCTGCCTGCGTCCCAGACCACCTGCTGCTTCCATACCATGACCCCGAGGGGCTTGGGATGTTCTTGATGGTGGCAGTTGGAGAAGCTCTCTGTGTCCCGCGGTCTCGGATCATCGTAGCTCCCCAGCAGAGCCGTATCTCGGGGTTACCAACTCGATGCGAGCCATCGCTTCACCGTAGTCGCGGATCCGGGCTCGTTGTGTACCAGGAGGCGGTCAGGTCTCTGTATTACAATCTACGTACACATTGGATGACGAGATATTGTTCCACAGCATCGGGAGGCACAGACGACCGGGTCAATGATCGGACTTCGTACCAAGGATACTGTATCACTCTCACATTATGGAACCTCAACGTGTTACGTAGCTAACGAAGTTTGGTAAATTGCCCCCGATTCTCACTCTGGACAAAGTATATGCGATGTGCAACTTCGGAGTTGGCGGAGAATGGGGTACGGCTATATACTATGCCGCGACAGCGAGCTGCTGAACAGCGGCAGCCGCCAGCCCCAGGCCATCGTAGTACAGCCCAAAGTCACCATGACGGGTGCGTACCGCGTGTTATTGCAATTGCCCATGCTCGTTTGAGGTGACGCCAAAGTGCATCAGCATCGAGCGGCCGTGCTTGGCCGCGACCCGCTGGCGGCGACAATGGCGCAGACACCCGCCTCGTCTCTTTGGCTGCCAGTGCTATGGGCCAGCAAACGAAGCAGGGCCGGGAGGGAGATACCTAACCTAGCGCGAGTCGTTCTCAGACACTTGGCGCGGGGAACGGATCGGGAGAAGGCAGGCAGGCCAACAACGAAGTGCCTCGTCTGTCAGAGGATCCGCGGCGGTCTCAGAATTGCTTTGTGTTCCCCCATCACCCTCTCCCTGACAAGCGAGTGCCGAAGCGCAAGAGTTTGACCGCTGCCTCCCCTGTTCATATTCGAGAGTGGCAATTCTGGGTAGAATTTGTAAAGAAGCTCTCAACCGAGGTGGTGTGGTAAAGCGGCTTGACCGGCCTGGCCCTTTCAACCCTGTGCCACTCATCTTCAGCACGAGTACGCGCGCAAGTGGCGGGACTTTGATGACATACACGTGGAGGCAAACCGGCAGTTTGACCCGCAACATCTTTGGCCGTTGGTGGCTTGGTCTCGTAAGCCGGGTCTGAGACGGTGTCCCTTCCATCAAAACGCTCCGGGCCGCGACGCCAAGTCAGGTGGGGATAACGGACGGGGCCGCGCCATCGGCGAATCGACTGACATTCTCATCGATTAAGGGTCCTCGAAGGAGAAGAGCAAACCGTGCGTTTTTCCGCCTTGGCTGGAAGCCTATAACAGCGAGTGCTCCGCAGCATCATGTCGTGTCGTACTGAGAGCGCCACGGGTGAGAGCGTCCACGACGACCCCTGTCGGCTGACTCGCCAAGTCAGGGGGCGCTGCTCCCTCATCCGGGCCCGCGTTTGAGAGCTGCAGAAGCGGTGGGGAAGACACATGGATCGGGTCTGCACAGACTCGCGCTGGATTCGACGGCTCCGATTCACTGCATGGCGTTTCATGCACGATCGCCAACCACAGGTGATCATCAGGATACGAAAAATGTCAAGGCAGCGGGAGCCAACTGAACAACCAACGTTGCTGCGATGACAATTGAACCAGAGGTCTGGAAGCACATAAGGGAAAAGCTCCTTGTACTCCTTGTACAGTACTCGTAGGTGAGGGAGGGCCTTGACCTAGGCCGCCTCTGCCATCGTGGTGTCGACAGGTCCACGCGAAAAACTCGTCGCGACAAGAGGGACACGAGCCGAACGCGCTACTGATCTGTGCATGCGCCGCTGCAGTTGCCATCTGCCGAACATTGACGCGCATCGGTCTCGCGTGCTGGGCTGTATTGTGGTGTCACATTCGTGCTTGCCGACGGCAAGGGCCCATTATGTCTTGCCTGCCAGGGGGCACGCGAGTCCGCGGCAGCTTCGCAGCTCGGATCGGTCAGCCATGGTGGCGCGGGAACGCGAGCGAGGGGCTCGCCAATTGATATGCAGGGCGAGGATTCTCTCGCCTCGAAGTCCGGTCTGCCATCGTTCGTCTGCCTGCGCAGTGTGTGACGGTGCTGTAGGAACATGCACTGTACTGTACAGTACTATACCTGTTACCTTGAATTTCCTACGTCATGCCCATTACATGCCTGTTTCGGGAGACGTTGGGTGCGAGGGGGTTGTTTCTCTTTGATGCTCTCTGTGCCTGCTGCATCGGACCATGGCCCACCCAGGGAAAAGTGACGACAACGATCCATTGGAGGTCCGATGGCTTGGGCCTCGCCGCGGCACTGCGGGAGCGACAGAGAGACAGACGACCAGACAGCATGGATGGGGCCACGATGCTGGACTGCGCGGCATGCCTGATTCGCGTGACCGGTTCCTGGGAGAGAGGTCGGCGTTCGGCCGCATACAGAACACAAGCGTGGGCTCATGATGAGGGCTTCTGCGCTGCCCGTTGTCCACTGAATGGCTGGCTGGCTGGCTGGCGGGCTGCCCTTGCATGGCCAGCTGATGCCTCCTCGCGCTCCGCTTTCTTTTCTCTGTTGCCTCCGCTCAGGTCTCTGCAGCGCACCGCGCAGACAGTTGCTTCTTCCTGAGCGCGGACACCCCCCTTTCGATGTGGCGGGAATGGTGAGCGGTCGCAGGACGGGGAAGAAGGAAACAATTTCCCGTGTTGGGGCCAGCTCCGCCAGCCACGAACGTCGATTGGCCGTGGGGGGAGACCAATTTGATAGTCGAGCCGGGGGTCCCTGCGGCGGCGGCGACCGGACGCCCTCCATCGTGGTTGTCTGTGTGTGTGTGTGTCCAGTCTCGGCGCGGCGCGATCCCCGGGCGGCCAGCTTTTTGGCTGAAAGTAGTGGCTCCTTGTCGTGTTCCTAGGGGAGCAGCTGCGGTCGCGTCCCGCCCAATTCGCCTTGCTTGATGCTGGATAAGGGGCCACGTTTGATGTAGGCGATGAAATGCATCATTGACGGATGGCAATTCGTGCGAGAAGATGCAGAGCAGACGGGCGGGCGGGCGAACGAGACACGGCGAGGCGGGAAGGGGGGAGGCCCTGGGGAGGCAGGGGAAGGAGCAGCCTGGAAGCTTGAGAGGAGCCCATGGCGCCAATTGGAAGGGTGCGCCGTCCGAGCTCAAGCAGCTCTGAAACAGGTACCCGGAACCCGCCTCGCGGCCAGACCGGCCCGCGAGCGCCCGCGTACCGCATACTTGGACCTGGGACGGCGGACAGGGGTCATCCCAACTTCATCATCCACGGGCCCCTGAGATGGGATCCCCCATGTTCATGCTTCGTCGACATTTCACCACCACGGCCACGGCCACGCCCACATCCATGCACCACCCTCCTCTCCGCTCCGGGCTCCAGCTCCATTTTAACGCCATGGACCGCGCCGCCTGGCCTCCTCCACCGTGCCCACGCATCCGAGCCCGCCGCCGCTCTCCATCTGAGCCAGTCCCTTTTCCCCCAGCCGCCGCCCGCTCGCTCGCTGAGTCTCCTTCTCCTCCAACCTCCATTGCACTTCTCGTGCAAAGACGTTCCCCTCCTTGACTTGACCGTGCTCTTGTTCTTCCTTTGCCTGCCGTTCCTTTCCTTCTTGACCCCGTTTGCACGCACCAAGGCCGCGTTGCTTTTTCCAGCTCGGCACCGCTCCTCGCCCTACTGCGCCTTCGAATGGCTCATTAAACGCACTCGTTCGCGCCCCTTTTTCTCGACTCAGAGATATCGAGCGACGAAGCTGTCCAGACGTCATTCTCTACAACGGCCCCACGGCCAAGGACCGTCTCGACGACCGTCGCCATGCCTCCCTCGCTCACCACCCATCCCTCCTTCACCCGGCCAAGGACCGGAGACCGCGATGCACGACCCAGCACCCGCGACCAGAGCGCCGCAAACGACACCATGCTCATCCCCAGCCGCACCTCGTCGCTGCACTCGCGCATCACCCAGCCCATCCCCTCGACGCTCAACGTGAAGCCCCAGCAGCGCACGCCCAAGACCCTCACCCATGCGTACATGGTCTGCGGTGTCGGCCGCGAGCCGAGCCAATGGGTCAAGGCGCCTCCCCCGACGCAGGGCAAGATCAGCCACATGAAGGGCGCCGTCGGCCAATTCTGGCTTCCCGAGATATTGGGAAGCTCCCCTCGCCTGGAGCAGGACAATGAGATTGCTCGTGCGCTGCACGCTGCCATGAGGGTAAGTGAGACTCGAACCATCGCCGCGCTCCGTTTCCTAACGTATCGACTCCTCAGGCCTGCTTTCCTCACGATGTCGAGATCTGCACGGGCCGCAGCCAGCCTCACTGTGTCCACCACGCCTTCGTGCTCCAGCAAGATTCTTCCCACACGCTCTATGGCATCTGCCTCCGCGTCTGGTCCCGTGCGGACGAGAAGAGGGCGGAGACGATTCGCGACCTGCGCAAGCGTACCGAACCCGATTTCTACGACAACCCCGACGAGACCTACTGGATCCCGTACTGCTTGTCTTTCCTGTCCCGGTACCCTCTTTACAACCTCCTCGGCGACTACCTCCGCGGCATGTGGATTCACTGGAACAAGGCCACCAACCTCTTCCACGCTGAAGAGGTCTCGCGGATCCTGAGCTTCCCCGCCCCTCGACTCAACGATCTCGTCCGTATCGACATGAAGGACTATGCGCTTTGCTATCAGTTCCCGTCGTCCCCCACCGGCTTCCAGAACTTCGCCATGTGGCCCCTGTTCACCTGCTTGTCCATCCCCAACATTGTTGGTGTGGTTGAGGCCGCCATCTCGCCGACCCGTCGTGTCATCTTCGTGAGCCACTACCCGGCAATGCTCACGATTGCTGCCGAAACCGTTCGCTACTGCGTTAGGGTCTACGAGTGGAGCGGCCTGTACGTGCCGGTTGTCCATGCACGCCACGCCCAGGAACTCGTCCAGGAGCCTGGCCCGTACATTCTCGGTGTAACCGCCGAGTGCCGCTCGCTGTTCACTGCGCCCAACGATGCCCTGGTCATTGACCTGGACCGCAACTTTGTCCTGACGTCGAGCCCGCCAACGGCGCTGACTCCCAGTCAGCGGAACAAGTTTGTCACCCGCCTCACGCAGGCTCTCAACGGCGACGTCACTCCGTCTGGTGTTCCGCAGCACCTTCGCTCTGCCTACGGCGGTGGCAAGCTGGTCCCGGCCGGCCAAATTATCGTCATGCGCGGCGAGGTGGAGTCGATCCAGGATCCGGAGTGGTGGAACCAGGACGCCGTCATGGCCGTCATGGACCACGTCTGCGAGAAGATGGGCCGCAACACTGGCATTAAGGCTGTCTTTGGCGGCTCCGTCAAGAAGCCTCTGATGACCAAGGTATCCATGCGCCACCTGAACGAGATCGTACGTGAGCGCAACCAGTACTCGCGTGACGCTCTTGAAGCCTGGCAGGACTTTATCAACCTCAAGGGTCGCATGGACACAGAGCTCAGCAAGGTCAACAAGCGGAATAACTACCTGGTTGAGGAGCTCGAGAGCTGGAAACAACAGTTCCTCAAGTTCCAGGCCTTTGCCGAGCAGCTCACCAAGGAGACGCAGGACCTCAAGGTCAAGATTGAGAACCACAAGAGGGAGAACCGTCGTCTCACGGGTCTCATCGACCAGCAAAAGGACGACAACGCCCGCCTCTCCGTCCGCCTCACCGGCACCGAGAAGCAGCGTGATGACGCCCTTGAGGCTCTTGTTCTCCAGCAGGAGATTGCTGAGGAGCTGGAGCGTGAGCGCAAGAGGAACAAGAAGGAGCTTGCTCAGCTTCACCACACCAACAGCACCATCACGCGCCAGCGCGATGAGGCCAGGCGTGTCGTGCTGCATCTCCGCAGCCTCATTGGTGGCCAGAGCCACCACATGGAGCACCTTGTCCGGTCACTCACCAAGCCGGATGAGCTGCCCGACGAGGCGGACCAGGAATATGGCGATGAGGAGGAGGCCGAGGAGGCCGGCAGCGAAGAGACACGGACGCTCAAGGCTGCTCGCAGCAGCAAGCGCCTGTCGTCGTCGAGCTTCATCGACGTCGCTGACCGACACCTCAAGGACAAGACGGACGCCATCGCCCACATCGTCCGCAACATTGCGGACCAGTGCCAGGCCGCTGTTGAGGGCCTGCAGCTGGCTCAGGATGCCGAGATGCGGTCGCTGCGGCGCCAGAGCGGCCTCTCGGCCGTGCACAGCGAGGATGGCATGGACGAGCGTTCCGTCGCCACCTCTGAGACTGGCGATGAGGGCCGTCTCCAGACCAACTCGGGACGGGCGTCCAGCATTCCCCCTACACCGGACCTGATCCCCAACCGAAGCAGCACGGCGATGTCGTTTGCTTCGGCCACGACGACTCCGGAGCGCTCGAGCCAGCAGTTCTCGACACGGGAGGACATCCCAACCAAGATCGTCGAGGACGACGAGGAGGACTACGAAGAGAGCCGCAGCGACAACGGCGGCGCGACGAACGAGAACGGCCTCGTTTCCAAGCACGCCGAGTCGCTCCTTCACCGCCCGTCCGGAGCGCGCATCAGCGCCCTCGGAGGCTCGCGATAGGGCGCAAAAATGACGATGATGTTGTTGCCAAAGATACCAGCCCCTTTGCAAGCGCACGGGCACCTATTTCAGCAATAGGGCGAATCCGTTACCTTTCTTACGAATATTTCAAATCATGCACATGCTCTATACCTGCACACTGAGCTGTCTTTTCCTGTTTGTGCTGTTCATGCGAAGCTTTGTCATGGATTTGGACTTGGATGCTTTCCTTGACGGAGCAAAGGGCTCTCGTTTGCGCCTGGGCGTTCTTTTGTTGCCTATTTCCAGTACAGTAGAGTGAGATGCTATCTTAACGTCGGCGATGGGTTCCATTCAGAATCTTGATTTGAACTGCGTTCAAAAACACCGCCTGGAGGCCTGTTTAGTAGGAGAAAAGGAGATTTTCAATTCATATGAACTCTGCCCTTTCTTGCAAGAGGCTTCAGCTCGACGACTGTGGTCCGCTGTCTGCTAGTTTAGACTCGCCGGTGTGAGTGTCGAGGTATTGGCCAAGGCGCGTCTTGATGTAATCACTTGAATATAAGTGTCTGTAGGCGTGACCAAGAAGCGAATGCGTCGCCAAGAGAAGTGACTGTTGACACATGGCCTGGGAGATACCGGTACGCGAAGAGAGAACGAGAAAGGGTCGTCGCCGCCAACGGATGTGGTGCGTTCCCTGTGAGGCTGGCGACTCCCATATTAGCGGAGGGTCCTGAGACTTTGTTAGCTGGCGCTCGGCCCGCCAATGGTGCAACGCGCTCCTACCCCTGTCAGAGATGTTAAAAAAAAAAGTCCCAGCGAGTGACGTCGCCGCGAGTCTTCCTTCCATCCAGCTTCGCTTGACATTTTCAAGCCAACTCGACCCCGTCCACCGGACGGAACCACGTCCGCGGCATCATGGCCGACCCTCTACTCACCTCCCTCTGCGCCATCTGCCACGTCTCCGCGCCCAAGTACAAGTGCCCCCGGTGCAACATCCAGACGTGTTCGGTGCAGTGCATCAAGAAGCACAAGGCGTGGTCGGAATGCAGCGGCGAGCGCGATCCCACGACGTACGTCCCGCCGGCGCAGCTGCGCACCGTCGCGGGCGTCAACCATGACTACAACTTCCTGCACGGGCTCGGCATGTCCATGGAGCGGACGGAGCGCGTGTTTGTGCAAGACAAGAAGATCATGCGCGAGGAGGACCTGCGCCCCAAGACGGTGATGCAGCCCAAGTGGACGACGGGCCGCGACGGGCGCAAGAGGAGGACGATGGTGCCTAGGCAGGGGGGCAACGCGGAGGCCAGGGAGAAGAGGTTTGAGCGGCACCTGGCGCACAGGCTCAGGCAGCTCAACGTGCACGTCGTGTGCGCGCCGCTGGGCATGGCGAGGCAGAAGGAGAACAACACCACGTTCAATCGCCGCACGGGCACGGTCAACTGGCAGGTCGAGTGGCTCCTCCTCGACGGAGACGATCAATTCGCATCCGAACACCAAACCCAAGCGGTGCCGACGCGGATTCTTTCAAAAGTACTCGAGGATACACCGCTTCACCGAGCATTCCAGGAAGCGCGGAGCGAGAGAAAGAAGGCTGAGACGGGACAACCGAGGAAGGCGATGAGCGACGAACGAACGAGCGAACCTCAAGAGCCATATACGTCCATCTGGAACTATCTCGCCTATCCAGTTCAGGAAGCCTCGTCCGGCCGCTGGGTACCCGGACGGGGCGCAGATGCCGAGACGCAGGCAGACCTACCGCGGCACGAGTTTCAGTTCTACCTCGCGGGGCCTCCGGCGCGATCTGACCTTCCACGGACCGTGACGTCGCTAGAGACGGAGGACTGCCTACGGAATATCCTCTCCAACACGACAGTCCGAGAGTTCCCCACCGTGTACGTGCTGAGGAGCGGCAAGGCGCTTCCCGCCAGCTTCACCCTGGGGCCGAAAGAGGCGGCGCCTTTGTGGCAGGGCAAGAAGCGCGCACCAGGACCCGAGCGTGGCGGTGGTGACCAGCGGTCCTCGAAGCGGCAGAAAGAAGACAGCAAGGAGATTGTGAAGACTGAGTCTGGAAGCGAGGAGGGTGAGGCGCTAGAGGACGCTGCGGCCGTCGATGGGCCTGGGAGCGATGGAGAGGCTTTGGAACAAGGCGAGGAAGCTGCGGGCGAGGAAGATGACGAGGTCGATGAAGACGACGGAGATGATTCTACCAGCAGCTCTGGCACGGACAGCGAATCCGACTGATGCCCGCGGTAGGAGAGGTCAGTGCTGCCGGGGGGGCCAGATGGATCCCACGGTTGAAGCACGCTTTGGTGGCCGAGGTAGCACTGCGGTTACCTCGTCGCCAGCATTAGATACCCAATTACACAGTACATAATTCAGTAAATATGCGACATGCGCAGCTACATATCATGCACATGTTGCTGGTGTTTTATGTCACTATTTGGCTGGATGCTCGCCGTCTCGCCGGAGTGCAAGTGTTGATGGGTGTGTGTTTTGGCGCGACGATCAAGTATTAGCAGCCAGCTAACAACGTAGGCCGCCTGCCCCCGGGCTTCAGCAGTCTTCAGCACCACCACCGCCCACGCGTCAACACCTCAGGCCCCGGGCTGCGACTCTCCGACACCACCAGCCCCTCGACACCACGTGTGCGCGCCCGCCCACCCTCGCTCCCTGACCTTGCATACTTTCCAACGACCAAGCAGCATCCGACTTCGCAGCATTCGACTTCGCAGCATTCGACAGCAGACGAGACCAAACACACGACGACGACATCGATTGCGCTCGGCACCGCCTCGCATTGACCCAACGCCATGGTATGATCGGCGCAGCAGCGCCTAGCAGCCCGCCCCTCCCGCCGCCGTCGTCGCCGCCGCCGCCGCCAACATGGACGACGCACCCGCGCCCAAGCTGTCGGAGCTGCTGCGGCACCCGGACGACCTCGACAAGATCCCCGCGCTGAAGCTCGAGTTCACGCGCAAAAAGGGCGCCGTCGACGGCCAGCTGCGCAATGGCCTTCGGGAGCAGCTCGAGACGACGCAGTCGGGCATGACGGGCCTCAGCGACGGGCAGAAGACGGTGCAGATGATCAAGGATGAGATGATGAGCATCGACAGGCTGTGCTCCGAGTCCCAGACCATGATCAAGGACTTTGCCAGCATCAACCTGGTGTCGCAGGCGCACCGCAACTTTGGCGCCGTCGAGGCCATGCGCCGCAACCTCGAGACCTTCAACGACCGCCTGACCGTCGTCGAGGGCATGCTGCGCCAGGACGACGACGACAAGGAGAACATGCCCAACCTGCTGCCTTGTCACTACGAGCTGACGCAGCTGCGCAACATCCGCGACGACGCCATGGAGCAGATCCAGCGCGCCGACGACCCCAGCCTCGAGTCCACCCTCGAGGACTACTTTGCCCGCCTCGACGACACCATCGACTGGTTCGACGAGCACGTCGGCATCCTCGCCATGAACCTCATCAACCTCGTCGTCAACGACAACAACGGCCTGGTGGTGCGCTTCGCCGTCGTCATGGAGGCCGAGGAGCGCAGCGACCAGCGCGTGGCCGCCCTGCAGGAGGCCCTCAAGGACCACGAGGAGATGGCGGTCCGCTTCCAGAGCATCACCGACGGCGCCAAAAAGGTCCGCGGCTACAAGGACAAGTTCATGCAGGCCATCAAGCTCAGCGCCGAGCAGCAGTTTGACCAGGCCCGCGAGGAGTTTCTTGACGACGCCACGCAGCTCGAGAAGATTATGAAGTGGTACTTCAACGACCTCAACGCCGTCAAGATCGGCATGACGCCCCTCATGCCCAAGAAGTGGCGGATCGCAAAGACGTACGCCGACGTGTACCACCAGCTGATGCACAACTTCCTCGTCGGCATGGTGGACGACCCGCAGGGTAGCTCGGCTCACACGCTCGAGATCGTCAGCTTCCCCGAAAAGTACTACAAGAAGATGGCCAAGCTGGGCTTCCGCCAGGAGGACCTGGCGCCGCACGTCATCGACAACCGCGAGGCCGAGCTGGTGCGCGACTTCCGGCAGCTCATCATCAAGTTCCTCGACGAGTGGATCGACCGCATCTTCGACCAGGAGAAGAAGGACTTTGCCGACCGCAACGTCGAGGGCTCCAACCTCGACCAGGACGAGTACGGCTACTTCCGCACCAAGAACCTGGTGGCCCTGTGGCGCATGCTGCGCGAGCAGGTCGAGGCCGGCGCCGGCTCCAAGCGCACCGACGTGGTCGAGGGCGTCGTCGACGCCATGTTCCTGCGCCTGCGCACCCGCCAGCAGGCGTGGCAGCGCCTCCTCGAGGACGAGGCCCTGCGCTACGAGAACCCAGGCAAGGGCGCCGCGGCGGCGGCGGGGGGCCCGGACAACCTCGAGGGGTTCCAGGCGCTGCAGGACTGGCTCGTCGCCACGGCCAACGACCAGATCGCCTGCATCGACGACAACGAGGAGGAGAACCGCCTCGGCTACCTGTCGAGCTTCCGGCAGATGTTCGAGCCGCACGTCTCGCCGCAGTACCTCGAGCGCGCCGACCAGGAGGTGGCGGCCCTGCGCGACGGCTACGTCGACTTCAGCACCTGGTGCATCACAAAGTTCGCGCAGCTCGTCTTCGCCGTCGACTTCAAGTCGGTCATGCCCGACTTCTTCACCCCGCGCTGGTACCCCAACACGGCCATGAAGCAGATGGTGGTCACCTTTGAGGAGTACGTCAACGACTACCGCCAGGTGCTGCACCACTCCCTCGTCGACATCTTCACCGAGATCTTCGCCGACGAGCTGCTCGTCAACTACCTCTCCTCGGTGCGCAACAAGGGCGCCCGCTTCCGCCGCGCCGACCCCTTCCGCGACAAGCTCTTCAACGACATCTCCACCGCCTTCGAGCTCTTCAACAACCTCCCCAACCCGGACGTCGGCCAGGCCATCAAGCAGACCTGGCGCGTCACCGAGCCCTTCCTCCGCCTCCTCTCCGCCGACAAGGACGCCGTCGCCGACGAGTTCGAGGCCTTCAAGACGGCCTACTGGGATTTGCAGATCAGCTGGGTCGAGGCCGTCCTGCGCGCCAGGGACGACTTTGAGAGGGGCATGCTCAACGCCGTCAAGGCCCGCGCCGCGCAGATGGACGTGACGAGGGGGCCTGAGACCATCATGAGCAAGGTGAAATGAGGACGTGGATGAGTTGTTTCGGTTTGGGCGTGGCGAGGAAAGAAAGGGGGGTGCGGGGTCTTATTTGGGGCTCCCTTGACATCCATCTATCTCATGATGTATCTTTTACCGGGGTGCATAAAGGATACCAAAGATTTTTGTTTTCTGCCGCAGGGGTGACCCAGATGGCAAGAGTTGAGACGCTGCGCAAGTTGCACACCTGTTTTAGAGAGAAATGTACGTTTCCGGGGGGTAACCTGTTTCTGGGCCAAATAAACCAAGCTTCCGTACGAAAGTAGTGGCTGGCGACTTGAACAATATTATCATTGGAAGAGAAGATCCCCCCGTTACAAGCATCTCCGCCTGCCTACACTATTGACAACACGACACACCACCACGACACAACACACAATGGCAACACCTGTTCTGTTCTGTCTGATATCCGACATCCAAACAAACAACCTATCCTCTCGCGACAGCCGTGCGTGCCCCGCCGCTCAAGGTACGGCGCAGGCTAGAAGGGTGAGGACAGCGCAAGAAAAAAAGCTTCTATAAGCTGCCGTGAAATCGACAATTGCAATGTCCTCAAGCTCTCCCGGCGGAACGCTCCAGGGTAGAAATGGGCTGGCCCGCCAGTCAACTCGACGTAGGAGCAATCCTACGACTGGCTCGCCAAGTAGTTTGCAGCCTGTGAGGGTTTAGTCGTTAGCATCTTCAAGAAAACTTTCTCATATTCTGCGTCGCGTATAGGGAGCTTACTCTTTCCAAGTTGTAATCATACTTCTCTAGTGCCGCAACTGCATCGGCCCTAGAGTAGCCCATTCCCGTCAGGTTCTTGAGTATCGGGTCGTCGTGCTCCCCTTGGTCTGTAAGAGCACGTCCCGGCGCCGACGGGCGCGAATCCTTCTTGTCATCGGTAGCCGTCGCGCCCGCATTGCTTACTCCAGGTGGGGTGACGGTGCTCGGCGAGTCGAGGCCGGCGAATATGGCATCCCAGTCGTGACTGTCAACGGCCTTTTGCTGAGCACCGCCAACGCCGGCAGTTGGCCCGGTGGCAGAGTGGGAGGGCACAAAGTCGAAACTGCTCTCGTTGCCGAAAGCGGTAGATTCGCTCTTGGTCTGGCTGGCCGGGGGGCTGCTGTCAAACACCGGGTTGAAGTCATCCCGAGATATATTGGCAAAGTCGTCGTCCGCCGAGCCCTCCTTGGCATCCTCGAGGCCCTCGAAGTCGTCGTCTAGGTCGTCAAAGGCCCCCTTTGCCACTGTGTTTGTTGGAGCCGAGCTCGGGGGAGCCTGTGCCGGGGTGGAAGATCCGAAGATGTCGTCGGCGATGTCATTGGCAGTTGGCGCCGGCTTTGCGGCAGGGGTATCTGTATCGGTAATTGTGGCTGGCGAGGAGGGCTGTTCAGAACTGGAAAGGATGTCAGCGCTGATCCTCACAATAGCCATTGCGGACCGCGGGAGGAAACCTACACTCTGTTCAGTCCCTCTGTGGGTTCCTTGGCAGCTGTTGCGTCGACCTGCTTGGCCTCAGGGGTCGGCTCCGGCCCGGCCGTCTTCGTGTCCGCCTTGTGCTTTGGCGACGTAGGGGTGAAGTCATCGTCAAACCCTCCCCTCTCGCTATCCGAGTCGGACTCGTCATCGCGCTCGAGCTCCGAGATTGGCGGGAACTCCGAGTCAAAGGCGGATTGTGCCTTTGCACCATCAGCACCATTGGAAGTTTGGCTCTTGTTAGATGAGGTGAATGCGGCAAAGGCATTGTCGAAATCGGCCTTGGCCTTCGCCTGATCGGTGTTGCCAAAGTCCATTGGGCCAGGAGAAGTGGCAGTCTTGGGCGCAATCTCTCCCGCAATGGCCGCCTTTGCCTCACCGGATGCCGGCGCAGGGCTCGACGGTTCGGTCTTGTCCTCATTGTCGCTGGTGGATGCGGCTTGCGCATTACCTGTACTAGCTGTCTCTCCAGCCAAGGGCGTAGATGCGGAGCCGGCGACGGAGCCCTCGGCGCGGGATGCTGGCGGGGACACCTGGCGAGACGACGACAGTGACTCTGTATGATCAGGGAAGGGCAGGAAGCTAGAGCTGATTTGCCTCGACTCTGGGGGGGCTGGGGGCTCTGCAGCCAGCGTGCCCTGTCGGCTGATCTGGGGTGTCGACGACGCCGTATTGTACGAAGCACCGCTTGCGACGGAGTTGCCCGTATTCTGCTGCTTGAAGGCCATGGCCGGTGGCGGCGAGGTGCTGGTTGGGACAGGCGGGAACGAGGGCCCAAAGACGTCGTCAAAGGACTTGTCGGTAACGCCCCTGGGTGCCGGGGGAGAAAAGGCACCCATTATATCCGTGCTGGCCGTTCGCTTGAAGAAGGGGTTGTTCGCGCTGGAGCTGGACAGTGCCGGGCTCGCGACCTGGGCAGATGTCGAAACAGGGGAGCTGCTGTCAATGTGTCGAGACGCCTCCTCGTTTGCTTTGGTCAGGTCCTCGGCCTCCGTCTTGAGCTTATCACGTTCTCCCTCCGTAGTCGCCAGCTGCTTCTTGTTAATGGCGACGAGCCCCTTCTGCTGCCGGGCATCCGATTTCAGCTTCTCAATCTGAGGCTTGAGCTGTGCAATTTCCCCATTCACCACTCGGATGCGCTCCCGCAGCTTTGTGTTCTCTTGCTGATCTGCTTGATATGCGGTGAGAGTCTGTTGATGTTGGGCCTGGGCGTCCCGGTATTGGCCTTCGAGCGTCATGCACTCGCCCTGGAGTTTCTGTGTTTCGGATCGAGACTTGCGCAACTGTTCTTCGAGGGCACGAGTGTCTTCGGCTTCCTTCTCGTACAGGGTTCGCAGCTGTGCCAGCCTCTGCTCGAAGTTCTGCTTCTGCGAGTTGGACTGATTGAGGTCGTTTTGGATCGTGGTCCGCTTGCTCTGGACGTCTTGCATCTCTTTAGAGAGAGAGCCAATCTGGTTCGAAAGATTGGCTAGCTCCGTTGTCTCTCCAGATATTTTCTTGCTCGCTTCGGGATCATGGTCGTCTAGAAGGTCATCCGACTGCCTCGCGCCAGGCTTGTCACCTGTCGTTTGCACAGTCAAGCCCCTCCCAAAAGAGGAAGAGGGAACGAAGGGCTTGAAAGTCGAAGTGGGCGCGCTCCCGCGGACGGGAGAAGATGGCGAAAGAACGGCAGAACCTCCTGCGAACGGGTCGTTGGCGTTCGATCCGCCCGTGGACATGGTTGTCTGTATTGGCGCAGCTGGCGCTGGGCTAGAGGAGCCCGAATCGAGGCCGAACAAGTCCTCCAGAGCAGACTTGGGCTGTGGCGGAGGGGCCTGCGTCATGGGCGGCGGGTCGAACGCGGAAGACGCAGCCGCTGGGCGAGGCTGGCTGCGCATGCTGGGAGGAATCAAGTTGGCAGGGAGTGTGGAGGGGAGCGGCGCCGAGCGGCCGCTGCGCTGCTGTCTGATCAAGTACATGGCGACGGCAAAAGCTTCAGGGTTGAGCGTTCCCTGGCTGTTGAAGTCGGCAAGATCCCAGATCTGAGCCAGCACCTCCTCGGACAGGTTCGATTGACTGAAAAACGGCACGGCCTCGTCGCCCGTGATGAATCCCTTCTTCGTCTTGTCGAGAGTGGCATATAGTTGATCGAATCGCTCCTTGTCGGCTGGGGTGATAAGCCAATCGTTCCCAGCAGCACCAGCGGACTGAGATGTCCGCCCAAGGGGGCTCCCCGTACGCGGTTGAGCCGTTCCGCTTAACTGCCTGGGAATGGCAGAAAGCCCTGTGTTTGTCGGTGACTGGCGAGGCCCAGAGATGGATCCGCGCTGTGTGGCGGCCTCGTACAAGCCGGCAGGCAGGACAGTCGGCAGAGCTCGCAGGGCGCCGGTTTTCATTGACGTGAGCAGGTGCATGGCGATGATGAACTCGGCCAGGACGAGTGCGCCGCGCTGTTCCGTGTCTGCCAGCGCCCATATTCTCCCGAGCGTCTCGTTTGGCATTCCCGACTTGTCAAAGATCTGCCGGGCCTGGTCACCCGCAAGCATGTTTCCCTGCAGTGACTGCCGCTCAAACAAGCTGGTATACTGAGCCACCTTGTCCGGCGTCAGGGGAGGGATCCGGACGCCGCCGCCAGTTCCCTGAGCCTGGAGAGTCGGGGACGCGGCGGCGGCAGGCACTTGCATGCCTTCGAATCGAGGCAATGGGGCGGGCTGAAAGGCCAGATCCGGCCGAGGTTCGCGACCGGCCTGGGCATGGGCAATGAGACGCAGTACGATACCAAACCCAACGGGGGTCAGGAACCCGCGGTTCTCCTTGTCTGCGATTTGCCATATCTGGGACAGCAGTGGTTAGTCGGATGCTGCGGGCGGGGGAAGGTTCACGAGAGCCGGCACCCACCTCTCCGAGGACTCGAGAGTCGAGTCGGGTCTTGTCGAAGAATGTAACGGCAGCATCACCGGTGACGACGCGGAGGTTTTCGGGGTCGGCCTGCTTGAAGAGATCGCCATAGACTCGCTTCTCCTCGGGCGTCAGGTTCAGGTTGGGCGCTGCTGTGTGAGGGACGTGGACTGTCAGCGGATTATGTCGCAACGGCGCCGCGGGGGGCATTCGGGAGGAGTGTACCAGAATCAGCGCCGGTTTCTGCGGACATGGCGACGAGATGCTGACGGGGCCACGGCCGGTCCCCAGGGATTCAGCACCGGATGCAGGTGTGCGTGGGTTGGTTGGGCTCGCGATGCGAGGCGGCGGTGCTCGGCGGCGGAGGCGGGAGGAGCGTCGTTGGTCGGGGGAGGCGCAGCTGCAACGCTCGCACGGCAAGGGAAGATGCGTCCGTATGCGTATGCGGTGTCGAGGCCTTCTAGAAGCGCCACGCGCTGGAGATGGAAGCCACGACGGGTTGGTCGATGAGACCGAGGTGGAGGAGGAGCACGCAGCAGCTTGGTCGGCCGGCAAGGTAAGGTAGGGGAGCTGGCGACGGATGGTCGGGTTGGCTGGAGGCTGGAGGCTGGTGGTTGGCGGTTGGTGATTGGCGTGGCTGAAGTGACGTGCCTGGGGCACCAGCAGCGGTTCGTAGGCAGCTTGTGGTGCTGCTGTACGTACTGTAACAGCTCCACGGCTCCATGGGCCCCTGTGGCTGACGTACGTACGTAACAAGGCACCCAACCACCAGTCGAGCCAGTGCAGCCGTTTGATCCACGTACGTACCTAGGCGGTGCTGCACCGGCGGCGTGCCGCTAAATTGCTGCGGGGGCGACGGAGCTACTGCACCTCGCCAAGCTCGCGTTCTGGGGCGGAAGACGCGGGGTGTAGGGTAGCCCGTCGCGGCTTGGGCCAAGACAGGAGACTTGGGTTGGCAAGATCCATTGGGATGGTCAGAGATGTTAGGTCTCGGCTGGTGGTTATGCCATGTACGTGCGTTCGCGACCTTCTCTCTTTCGTACAGAAAATAATGTGGAATGGGGCCAGTGCGGTCTGGCCGGGGGTGGTGATGAAGACAGCGTCCGCGCGGGGGGGACGCACTGGGGACGACGCGGATGATGCGGATGAAGCAAACTGGTGTATGATGTTGCAGGCTCACTACGCAAGCCGGGTTGCTCCTTGCATTCGAGACTCCCGTCGTGTACGCCACTCCACTGATTCCATATCTATACCTACGTTACCAAGTACACCATCGCCAATCACGAAAGCCCCGAGATGCCGAGGAGTTGCCTATCCAGCGACACGTTTCCCGAGGTCTATCGACGCATGACGGGAACGTCCTCTACCGGCCCTGCAGCGGTGGTCCCGGCCCATGGCGCCATCCGACCAGGGAGAGCCGCCCACTAAAAACGTCAATCAGTGCCCAAACTGCAGCGCGCCCAGGGCCCTCCCGGCCTTCTGGAACCGCACCAAGCAGCGGGCCGCTCGGATTACTCAGCGTCGAGCTTCGCAAATGGAACGACTCGGGCTCGCCGGTCTCGCCCAAGCCCAGCTCAATGGCGTGCCTGCTCACAAATACAACTCAAAAAAGCACATCCATCTGCAGCCGGACAAATACTAGACGTCATCCCGCTGCCACCCCACACGAGCATTGAGCCCCTCCATCGCAAACGTGCATGCCGCCAAAGTATATCTACACTGGCAGCTCCCCTCCTCTTCCTCCATCCGCCCCGACGAACCCAGTCCCGCCCCGGCACTGTCGATGAACCCACTCGCCCTCACCTCCCGCGCTTCATTCCACGCCTCGAGAGCTGCTCCGCTGCGCCTAGCTTCGCTATCTCGGCATTTGTCCACGTCCGGGCCGACCACCATGGCTCCCGTAATCAAGGAGGCCGACTACCTCGTCCTCGGCGGCGGCAGCGGCGGCCTGGGCTCTGCCCGCATGGCCAGCGGCAAGTTCGGCACCAAGGCCATTGTCGTCGAGGCTAAGCGCCTGGGTGGAACTTGTGTCAACGTCGGGTAAGCGACGCTCCCCCGCATTCGCCGAGTTGTGCTTGCTTGAGTCGCGGCTGACATCCAACCCCTCCTTTGCAGCTGTGTTCCCAAGAAGGTCACCTTTAACGCCGCGGCCATTGCCGAGGCCATCCATGACTCCAAGGCCTATGGCTTCTCCGTTCAGCAGACGGCGCCCTTTGACTGGACGACTTTCAAGCACAAGCGTGACGCCTACGTCAAGCGCCTCAATGGCATCTACGAACGCAACCTGAACAACGACAAGGTCGAGTACCTCCACGGCTGGGGGAAACTGGTGTCCAAGAACCAGGTCGAGGTCACCCTGGACGATGGCTCCAAGGTGCTCGTCAACGCCAAGAAGATCCTTGTCGCCGTCGGTGGCCGCCCGAGCGAACCCCCCAAGATCCCCGGCGCTGAGTTCGGTATCAACAGCGATGGATTCTTTGAGATCGAAAAGCAGCCCAAAAAGGTGGCCATTGTCGGCGCTGGCTACATTGCCGTCGAGTTTGCCGGCATGTTCAATGCCCTAGGCACTGAGACACACCTTATCATCCGACATAACACCTTCCTTCGCCACTTCGATCCCATGATCCAGGAGTCAGTCACCAAGGAGTATGAGCGCCTGGGCGTCCACTTGCACAAGAACTCCAACACCACGAAGGTGGAAAAGGACGCCAATGGCAAGCTCACGGTGACCTACAAGGACGACAGCGGAAACGAAAGCTCCGTGTCAGACGTTGACGAGCTGATCTGGGCTGTGGGCCGAACACCCGAGACCAGCGGCATCGGCCTGGAGGAGGCCGGCGTCAAGCTGGACCAGAACGGCTTCGTCGTCGTCGACGACTATCAGAACAGCAGCGTCGATAACATTTTCGCCCTCGGCGACGTGACCGGCCAGGTCGAGCTGACGCCCGTTGCCATCGCCGCTGGCCGAAAGCTCGCGCATCGACTTTTCGGACCGGCAGAATTCAAGGCGGCCAAGCTCGACTACAGCAACATCCCCTCCGTCGTCTTCGCTCACCCCGAGGTAGGCAGCATCGGCTTGACGGAGCCGCAGGCAGTCGAGAAGTACGGCAAGGAGAACATCAAGGTCTACAAGACGGGCTTCACGGCCATGTACTACGCCATGATGGACCCTGAGCAAAAGGGCCCCACCAATTACAAGCTCATCGTCACTGGCCCCGAAGAGAAGGTTGTCGGCCTGCACATCATGGGCCAGGGCAGCGGAGAGATGCTGCAGGGCTTCGGCGTTGCCGTCAAGATGGGCGCCACCAAGGCCGACTTTGACAGCTGCGTTGCCATTCACCCCACGAGCGCCGAGGAGTTGGTGACGTTGAAGTAATATATGATAGAAGGCGAGAAAGAGAGAAAGAGAGCGAAGATGCGCAAGACCTTGTACCGATTGGTTAGAAAAGTACATTCCAAAGAGACTTGAATATTGTCGCTGCAATGAAACGAATGCGTGTGGCTTCCCCCGAAACATGTGTTTGTCCGTGAGCTGAGTTCAAGGGGTCAGCGACGTACATGTTCGCAGATTGACCCTGCGAAAACAATGACACTCCGAATCGTCTGATTTCTGCGGTACGCCATATCAAAGTTTGCTATTAACTGCTTGTCTCAAGGCACCAACAGACAGCACCATAGTGGAAGGACGGGAAGAGAAGCGAGACTGACACCGAGTACAATTATTCAGGCTGCGTAGCCAGAGCTACCTGGGCTGTGAAGCGGGCCCTGTCATGGCTTTATATTGGCGCGATACGGAACCAGGCCGCACAGATCCCCGAGGACTGAAAGCAACAGAAGGGAGTTCGGTGTGGTGCCACTTCCGGCGCTTGTCAATGGGTCATGGTGCGCTCGACTCGGAGACGGTGCTCATTCTTCGGGCCCGCGAAGGCAACTCGAACGAGTCCAAGATAAACGGACAGTCCTCATCTCTCCGTGGACGATGCCGCTTTCGGCCCCTTGGAGAGTAATCAAGGCGCTCGGTCCTCTGGGACCCGTGCTTTTAACCCTTGGATGGACGGAAACTGTTACCACTACACCCGACCGGACGCCATTCACGTCCACAGCCGTAAAGTAAACAAGCCAGGTCTGTTCGCCAAGTCCCGAGATGGTGCAGATACCTTCGTTTGTGCGTTCAACTTCGAGGTACGTACGGCATGCCATTGGGAGCCGGCTGAGGCCGGGACAGGAGCTGGCCAACACGCCACGGATGAGCGATCCGTCAGTGCACACTCGCAGAATCCGGCCGGCTTGTTCTCCCCATCATGGCAGCCCAATCTCTCGCGCACGCATGCGTTCCAGACCGGCACAGTACACCAGTTGGCTGCTTCCACGAGCGAGCAAAGATGTCACTCGTTGAGATGCCAACTCAATCCTGCGTCCCAAGCCCGTCTCTACCGATACCCATGGCATTCAATGCCCGGGCATTCGCAGTCGGAAAAGTCCCCCACAGGGCATACAAAACCGAAACACTTGCGCCATATCTCGAGCGAAACGCGGCCTACTTCGGCGTCAATGGCCTTTAAGGATGCAGAGTCCGATGCAATCGTGCGCGTACTTTGACACTTCACGAACACTACTCTTGCCCAATTCGTCGTGTTAGATAGTGGCTGCAAAGGCACACAGTATCGCTTCTCACGAGTCACAAGCCTGGCAGAGAAGACCTGGCAGCAGCATTGCCCTGGCTTGACGAGACAGAAGGTGGGTTTGGGTTTATGTAGACCAAGGCCCGCCGTTGAAACACACTACTGCTTTTCTGCTTTTTGCGTACCAAATGCTATTTGACTGAAGTCCCGAGAAGAGGGGCGGGCCAGAAGGCTGCACTTCAGCCCAGAAGGGCTGACTACATAACTATCGAGTGTCCAAGCGATATTGTAAGTGCTTCTTCATGAACCAAGTTGTCGCAGAAGGAAAGTGTGTGAGTCCGTGTCGTTCGTCATGTATGAGTTGACGCCTGATCGCTAGGCCGTTGCCGAACTTGTTCGCGACCACAAACGGTGCGAGAAGTGATGAAAGCAGAAATGAAGTCAAGATAACCTGCGGGACAGGATTGACAGGTTAAGCTTCTTGTGGACATAGTATGACCGTTGAGCCGGCGCAGCTTGACTCGTTGAGCAAGGCGCGGACGTGTGTTCCGGCCCTGCTTCAGCCAAACGGGGATCTGGTGCGCATTTATCTAGTAATCAATAGTTTGTACGATTACGGAGTAGTATATAATCCTTTTTTTGCACGCCACCGACGCAATCTCGCTGTGAAGAGGGCACCCGCCGTCACGTGTCAAACGTGACGAAGAGAATAAAACAAGACGAAGGTAGGTAGGAGCTGGACGGATCCGCTTGGGGCGTGCTGCTGCCAAGCATAATAAGGCTGCTAACATCAGTAATCGCCCGTAATAAATGCCAGACCGCCTACGAGGATTGGTCCTGCGTACCGGCATTCCACAGCGGGCGTGGAATGGTGCCTGGAGCCCTGGCAGTCTGCTCGGCATTAAACCATATGAGTGGCTGCGATATAACTACTTCGTAGGTACGTTAGTTACTTGTAGGCGTCTTCGGGGGAGCCGGAGCGCCGTTCCCGGGCCCGTCACTCCGGACAATCGCCCTGTATAGGAAGCCACAGTCCCAAGGGGTCTCGACTGAGAGGCGCCTCTTTGCCCCGCCATGCCGTAGGCACTGTTAGTGCTGGCCAGGACGTTGAAAGTCTGACCCAACCGCGGGCATTACGGAGCGAAGAAGCGAGCACCGGATGTCTGGGCCGGGGCCCGATACCAGCTCCTTTTCCCGCTCTGTCTGCCTCGCGCTCCGTGTCAACTCAGCAGCGGGTCGTGCGCGAGTCGTGGCCCGCGACGCCCCAGCCGGTCTGGCGTTGCCTTGCCTCGACGCGTGGGCGTGGTTCCCACTCTGCACCGTTGCGGGATCTCAACGCCACCCGGGACGCCGGGGCCTTAGAGCGAGCTGGGATCGCCGATGTAACTGTCCCCCGCCGGTGCGCGATTCCCGCGAACGGCATAATGAACGACTCTGTTCGGGGTCAGGCTGAAGTGTAGATGTAACTACGCGCCATTGTGCATATTTTTCAGCCGGAGATTGGATCGTCGCCTCGCCTGGAAATGCGGTGCACCCCGGCGACGAGGGGCGACGCCGCCCCTTGTCGACACGCACCAGGGTTTGGCCAGGGTTGGATGGACGGTTGTCTTTTGGTTGTCGACGGCATGACACGGAGACTGGCTCATTCCCGGCACAACTCCTCACTTGGGGGTGTGTAACACAAGCCGCAAAAGATGACTCCGCCTCTCCCGGCCAGTTCGTTGAACATGCAGCGTGGAGCAGGTGGGCAGTCGTGAGGGTCTCCTCGCTAATTTATGCCGTGCGGCATGGGCAGTGCCGCCCCCAGCGGGAGATTGCTGCGGATGATTGCCGGGGTGGTGCGTCGTGGACCGACGATGGCATGCCGTGAGACACTGGCCGAATGTACAGTTGCTGTGCTCGGTCGAGGCGAGACCCCCTGATCTCCAATGACCTCATTGTCGACGGGCTCGACTCGCCAACTGTCGTTGCAATAACGCGCGACAAGTGGAGCTCCTGCGTCATGGTTTAGAAGAACTTTGGTCTTGTGACTTGACCAATGTCAAACAACAGTAAAGTCGGGACGCAAGGGCGGCCAGAAATGAGTTTGGCGAGGCAGCAGTTCCATCGCCACAGCGACGGCGATTTGAGAGGATGAGACACCGCGACTGGCCCATCCGCGAGGCAGGTAGAGAAACTACGTGTGTATGAGGCCCAGCAGTCACTGTAACACTGTCGTGCGGTCACACACAACCTATTGTGACCTTGAGGATCTTACCATGCTTGGGCTGACCACACCAGTGGACTTGGAGGCGGCTCGACTGACGAAGAGCCCGGGGACAGAGACCAAGGGGGGTTGAGCATCTGAGGCCGAGCAGTGTGCTTCGAAAGCTCGCGACAGGACCTGACTTGCCACAAATAGACGCTACCATCGCTGCTGCAGGCACTGACTCGACAGGAAGTGGCTTGTGCACGATTCTCGGTGCCGTCGTTTGTCGAGCCGTTGCACCGCCGCGTCAGCAAGCACATACGCCGTGTAGGCAGGCAAGCTGGTTTGACGACGACGATGGAGCCTGCCCGGTGGATGTGGCAACTGAAAGAGCATAAGCTGGCGACACGAGTGGCGACCCCCGCACCCCATGAGAAGCGGCTCCGTTCAAGGTATCGTATTCAGAAAGAAGAAGAGTAGAATAAGATGAACTAAAATGGGAGAAAAAAAGACTGATGATCACTTGGCAACGCCGGAGTCATTTTGAACACGATGCCGGCCCGGCCGTTGGCGCCGGTTCCTGAGAGAGCCATGGTGGTGGTGTGGGGAAGGGAGTTGGCTGGTGTTGCTGGTGATGACGGGATCTTGACGTGGTCCAGCAGAAAGTCGCGACTGCATGGCGACAGGACATGGTCGCTTGAGGAAGTCGCGGTGAGCCGCCTTCGTCCCCTTCCGAAATGGTGGTTGCAGTGCATGCATGGATGTACCTTCCCGATGTGCGGAGCGGGACCACTCAGGGAAGGCGTCACTCACTCAGGGCAAAGTGACTGCATCCACGGATCACGCAGTTGGTACGAAGTACATCACGCAGTGTATCGCGCTGCTCGTACTCGGTATCAAGACGGACGTTCTATGCGAGATGGAATGGGGGCCAGCCGCGCAGGCGTGGGCATGGAAGCTGTCCGTCCGTCCGTCCATTCGCAGGCCGACGCTGCGGTCGTCGCCCCTTGTGGCTCTCGGGGGCGGTGGCCGTCCTTGGTTGGCCATGACGCTGCTGCGGCACGTGGACTGACAGACGCCTACGGGTAATGCCCGCCCCCACGAGCCGCTTGAAGGAGACCCGAAGCCCTCCAGCTGGGCGGTTGGCAGCCAACGTCAGCTCTCCGGAGCACTGGGGCAGGAGGAAGCGACCAGACAGCTGGGCGGGATGAGTTAACAGATTAGTTGGGTCACGTTGTCTCGTCAAAGTCCCCCAAAGGCCCCCCCTGGTCACTCTTTTTTCTGTCGATGGAAGGCGGGCGCCCAGTCCCACGCCTTGCAGCCGTCGCCGCCGCATGCCGCATGCCGCATGCCCGCGCCCGGACACGCTGACTTCTATGGGTGACACCCTGGGCTGGCCCTGCCCTGCCCTGGGCTGGGCTGCACCGCGCTTGTCTCTTATACACATCTAGATGTGTATAAGAGACAGCCCCAAGGCTTGCGGTCCCGGTTTGTCTGAAGGGCCTGTCGCCTACGTCATAGCCTGCCCCCCCTGTCGGCCCTAGCGCCATTGCCAGCGCCGCCAGCCAGTGGCCAAGCACCATTGGGGGCGCCAGCTTTCCCATCCTGTCCTGCCCTCAAACGACAGTCCATCCGTCAGTCAGTCAGTCAGTCAGTCAGTCTGGCTGTTTGTCTGTCTTTTTGCGCGCCGCCTCCGCCCAGAAACTCCAACTCCGGGTCTGCGCGCCACCGAGCCTCCCTCTCTCGTCGCAGCCATACCCACCTGGACCCGCGTGCTGTTGCCAGAGCCGCCCCGGCCTGGCCTGCCTGACCCGACGACGAAGCCTTCTCGCCCTGACTCTGGTGCTCGTGCGACGAAGCGTTGCTGCTGCTCTGCTCTGCACCGCGGCACCGGCCCAAAAAAGCGCGTGCCGTTCTCGCCCGCCCGGTTTGCACCCTACGTACAACTATCAGTGCCACTGCCATTCCCGCTACCAAAGCAAGCACAGTGCCGTTCTGTAGGTACGCCATTGCTCCATTTCGGGCGCCATTTTCCTGCCAGCCCTTCACGTCACCGTCACCTTGACCGACGGCCCACTGTCTCTCCTCTCCGCTCTATTCGCCCGCGTCTTCGTCCCCGTCCAACCTCGTGACGACTCTGCCTCGCAGTGCAGCAGAGAGCCGCCGGCCCAACTCGCCCAATCTCCCGTCACGTCTCGTTGATTTGCTCACCAGCAGCAGCATCTCAGCAGTCACAGTCCCCGAACGCTGCACCTCACGTCTCGGCCACTAGGGTTGTCTGCCGCCCTCTGACGAGACCTCGCCGTTGCTCCCATCCTCGGCACTGCCGCCGCGTTCTAGGTACCGGCGCTTCGCCTTACGCTTCGATTCGGTGCGGGCCGGTACCTGCACGGGACAACGCACGTCGGTCATTGCGTATGCCCTCGGCCTGCCCTGCGCATGCGACATTCCGGCCTGCCCACCTACCTCGACGCCTCCATCGCCAGCCCGCTTGGCTGAGGCATGCCAGGGCCAGCGTCGCCGGCAGTTGACGAAAGCGAATCGCCTTCGCTGCCGCCTCAGGACGCGCCCATAAGCTCGACAGCAGCCGACACTCCGAACCCGTCTGCGACGCGTCGACCGACGCTGCCATCCGAACCTGCTGCCGCCGAGCCGTCGCCGCCGCTGCCGAGCGCAACCGATCAGAGTCGCTCTGCGAGATATGGACATGTAACGCTAAGCCCTGTACCACCACCACCAGCTCCGTCATCAACAAGGGTGCCCGGGGATGCGTGCAGCAGCATGGCACCACGCCGCTCCAGCTATCCTTCGCCTTCGCCGAGTGATATAGCAGGCAGGCTATTTCCAGAGCAGCCCGCTGGAGCCGGCCCCGACGACAGCCTCGGTACTACGGCCGCCAGAGGCAAGGGGCCAGCCCTCGCCAACACTGACGCTCCCGTCGGCTCGTCTCGTTCGGCCGCATCACAACAGCAGCTACACGAATATCGAGAGAAACTTGCGCGCGATCTGGAGCTCCGCGAGATGTCGGCTAGGGGAATTTCCGCGACGCAGGCGGACAAGCCACGCGTGTCGCCCATACTGGAGGAGACGGCGTCCAATTCTCCTCTGCATCTGGCCATGCCGACCAATGCGTCGACTGAGTCCGGAAACACGATCCGAGGCGGCGTAACACCAGGATTCGTCGCGGGCACACCTTCATACCCATTCCCGCGCATGGGAGCGTCCAATGTCGGCCCCCTGTTTCTCCAAAAGTCTCTGGGATCACCCCTTCCGGGCTCCAGGCTCCCCTACTCGCTCGGCTCGGAGCAGCGTGGCGTGCTGGACAGGGTGCTTTCTGAGAACTCTACACCCGCCTCCAACTACACATTCAATCCCTCTGGCGCCTCCCCCCAGATGGAGAATTTCGACTTTCCCGCCCCTAACCTGTACGACTTGTCGTTGATGCTCAGCGCAGAGCCCGGCCTGGATGCCTGGTGGAATACGGTTGTCCAGATCATGCGAGATGTGTACAAGGCCGAGCGCGTCACGTTAGCTGTTCCGGCGGATACCACCGATATCGAGAACGTCCCTTGGGGTCAGAAGGCGACATACAATGAACACCACGAAGATGAGCTCAGCATGGGCTACATGGCCAAGGGAAGCAGCGCGATGGAAAGCAGTGAGCGCGACGCTTCTTCCGACAACGTGGTTTCCATGAACGCCGTGATTGAGCCAGCCACACCCACTCGACCCGGCTTGCCAAGTCGACACTCATACACAAGCTACGAGGAGAGCAGGCAACGGTCGCAGGAGACGACGCCAAGCGCCATGCGAAGGCCGGCTCAATTGACAAGGAGCAAGACCCATTTCCCCTCAGTCCGTCTGCCAAGCCAAGTTGGTGAGAGCTATGTCAAACTCAACAAGGATGCACTGGATCAGCACGACGCCTCCGACGAAACTCAAGAGGTTCCCAGCTGGGAAACGCCGTTTGCTGCGCGGTATGAAGGCCAAGGGCGGGTATTACCTGTGCTCCAGGCTTTGGATTATGAGGCAGATCCCCTTATAGACCACGCGGGGGTAATGAGAGTGCTCCAACGCGGACGGCCTGTTGCCCTGACGAGGAGCTACCCGTACCTCCCGCCCACCAATCCCTTGGGTCAAGATCAAGCGACAGATCCGCAGCAGGGATCGAAGCCTAGCTCAGCTGACTCGACGAAGCGACCTAGAAAACAGCGATCCGAGTCCATCTCCAAGCTTTCTTCCATGTTCGCGGGCCCTACGCGAGCCAAAAACAGCTCTGCAGAAAACGCCGCGACAATAGCGTCATGCTTGGATGACCACGAACCAAGACCACCCACGCCCCGGTACGAGGAGTATGAACAAGCCCCGCCATCTCCTTGGTCACAATCACCCGCCCCGTCTCCCGCCGTGCGGGCGGATCCGAAGGAGAACCCCTTCTTCACCGACGCCATGGTAGACGAAGACTCATTCAATCCCGGTTCGGCCCCAACTTCTTACTCGGGCATGAGGCCCCCAGAAGCTATTGGAGTTGACAATTCATGGACCGTACTACACATACCTCTCACGCATGTGCTACTGTCTCGGCCCACGCGGCCGTTCAAGCTTGATGCCACAGCCATGGAGCAACGATCTCACACCCGCGCCAAAGAAGGGGCGACTGCTGATCGGAACGAGCCGCACGAGTCGGAGCGCCTAACACCTGATCACCTGCGGAAGGACAAGCATGCCCCCATCGCCATCTTGTCCATACTCAGCCCCATCATACCATATCCTTCCAATCTGCGGCAATCTCTGGAACACCTTGCTCCGCATATGGCTACGTCTTTCTCCATGTGCCGCCATTACACAAACTTGGAGATCGAGTTGGCTGGCATTCAGCGGCGACGGCCAGCCACAGCAGGCTTCGGCGCCGTGACACCATTCCCGCGGCATGTCAACAACATACCGTACCTGGCGCCTGGCGACAGTGCGTTGCAGCAATCTCTAGGAGGCAGCATAACCAGCCCTAGCGACTATTCCGGAGTGTCCAAGAGTGCCACAGGCTCTCCACTTGGGACTCCTGGTTGGGATCAGGGATCTCTCAACTTTCTCGTCGACAAGAGGCAGCCCGCCGGCAGCCCAGCAGCCATTGCTCAGGGGGCCGAAAGCTATTTCAGCAGTAAACAGAGGCCGTCTTCCGCGCGGCATGATACCTGGGGCCCGGGGCCCCAGGTTTCGAGGACAGGGTCAAAGGACAGCTCCCCTGGGGAAAAGAGGCAGTCCTTTTTGCTGGCTTCGAAATCGAATCTGGACCGTCCCGCCGAGAAACTCCCATCAGATGTCGATGAACCGTCGGTACAGGCAAGGAGTCAACCCGCCACCAGGAATAGCTTTGTCTCGGCGGCGGAGGCTCCAAACGATAACGCAGTAGCAAAAGGTGCCGATAGGGTTGGCCAACCGACAAAGGGCGAACCGACTCACCCTTCACACGGCCATACTGTCCTGCACAGCTACGGTGCGGACTTTGCCTCAACCTTCCAGTCCCTCCCGCCAAGCTCTAGTCTCAACCGTCAACTTCCACAAACTCCTTCGGCCCCACCGCGCAGCGGCTCTCTTACGGCACTAGGGGTAGACATGCCGCCACCTTCTGACAGGCTAAAGGGCCTGATATTGGATTCATTACCAGCCCATGTCTTTGTGTCTCTACCGCAAACCGGAGAGACGGTTTGGGTGAATAGCCGCTTCCTCTCCTATCGCGGTCAGACTGTCGCAGATTTGTCGGCAGACCCGTGGGGCAGCATCCATCCCGATGACCGCGAAGGGTATCTGAAGGCTTGGGGCCACTCACTCAGGACCGGAGAGCAGTTTTCGAGGACGGTGCGCATAAAGCGATTTGATGGTGTGTACCGATGGTTCTACGCCAGGGCCGTGGCATCCAAAGACAAGAGGGGTGTCATCATGCAGTTCCTCGGCTCGTACATGGACATCCACGATCAGCACATCGCCGAGTTGAGGGCGGCCCGGCAAGAGGAGATTGAAGCTTCAGAGGCCAAACACCGCTTACTTGCTAACCTTATCCCTCAGATCATCTTCACCGCCACCGAAGATGAGGGCATCACCTTTGCCAACGAGCAGTGGCTCTCGTACACGGGCCAAAGCTTCGATGGTGCGATGAACTTGGGCTTCATGGACCACGTCCATCCAGACGACTTGGCGCGCTGTCGACTGCCAACAGAGAGCCGCCGACAGGAGTCCAAGGAAGCCGTCAAAGTTGGGAAAGACAAGACATCTGGCAAGGCCGGGTCTCCCACTTTATCTTCTGTATCAGCTCGAGGCCCTGGTACGAAGCCGGTGCCTCCCGGCTCGTCTGGGAACCCCAGTCCTCCCTCGCAGCACGGCCAAGAGTTGGTGTCACCTGCCGACCTGACAGAGCTGGCAAGGAGGGGCATCATCAAGGTCACAACCGACACGAGCGGTAGACTCTCGTACACAACCGAGGTCCGGTTGCGCTCGAAGACCGGAGAGTACCGCTGGCACCTCATCCGCTGTGTGGAAATCGATACAATCGACTTCGGCCGCGGTGCTAGCTCGTACTTCGGTTCTGCTACAGACATCAATGACCACAAGATCCTCGAGACGAAACTCAAGGTCGCCATGGAGTCTAAAGCCAGGTTCCTGAGCAACATGTCCCATGAAATCAGGACACCACTCATCGGCATCTCGGGAATGGTCAGCTTTCTTCAGGACACAACATTGGATGAGGAACAGCGCGATTATACCAACACCATTCAGACCAGCGCAAACAGCCTAATTATGATCATCAACGACATTTTGGACCTCTCCAAAGTCGACGCCGGAATGATGAAGCTCAAGTTTGAGTGGTTCCATACGCGGTCTCTGATAGAGGACGTCAACGAACTTGTGTCCACAATGGCAATTGCGAAGCGCCTCGAGCTCAACTATCTTGTGGATGCAGACGTGCCCGCTTGGGTCAAGGGAGACAAGGTCCGCATCCGGCAGGTGTTGCTCAACGTCATTGGCAATGCTATCAAGTTCACTACCGAAGGAGAGGTGTTTAGTCGATGCCAAGTGTACACAGAGGCCTCTTCCAAACACGGCGAGAACGAGATCGTGCTCCAGTTTGCCATAACCGACACTGGACGCGGGTTCTCCAAGGAGGAGGCCGAGCTCATTTTCAAGCCGTTCAGTCAGATCGACGGCAGCAGCACACGACAGCACGGCGGAAGTGGACTCGGCCTCGTCATCTCCAGGCAGCTCGTTGAACTCCATGGCGGCAAGATGGAGGGAAGCGCGGAACCGGGCAAAGGGTCCACGTTCACGTTCACGGCAAAGTTTGCTCTTCCCACACCCGAAGACCACCCCGACCAGCTCCCAAGCAGTTCTGTCGCAAGTCGACAAAGCTCGTCGGAAAGCGTGACCCAGTCAAAGAAGCAGGTTCCGGCGATTGAACATTTGCAGGGTGGTAAAGGAAAGCCGCATGGCGCCGTCGAGGCCGAGCCGTCGGCCGCGGGTGCGACCTCCGCCGGTAGTTCCGGTGCGTCTGTTTACTCGGGCCGGACACATGTCACAGATGCCTCGTCAACCACGTCGGCAAGCACGGGTTTGGCCCGATTCAGCGAGGCAGCCAAGGCCAGTGGACAAGACCTCTCTCAGATGCAACTCGAAATGCGCTTCGACAAGGGGTCACCAGGTCGTACCGCGACTCCCGACAGCACCCTCCACCCCTCGCCCGATCTGAGGCCACCCATGTATTCCATTCTCATCATCTGCCCGCAGTACCATAGCCGGGAAGCAACGACGCAGCACATTGAGATGACGCTCCCCAAGGACGTGCCGCATCAGATTACGGCTCTCGGCACCGTCGAAGAGGCGCAAAAGTTCATCGGCGGCGAGGACCCCATCAACTTTACCCATATTGTTCTCAACCTCCCGTTGGCGGAGACAATCATCAACATGATGGAGCAGATCACTAAGTCTCAGAAGCTCGACAGGACAACCATCGTCATCCTCTCGGACTCGGTACAGCGCCAGGCTGTCCTGAGGCAAGCCGCAGACACGCCACACCAGAGCCTGTTCGCGGACAACTCAGTGACCTTCATCTACAAACCGGTCAAGCCGTCGCGCTTCGCGGTCATATTCGATCCGGATAAAGTACGGGAGCTCAGTACGGATCGGAACCGGTCCACCGCGCAGCAGATGGTGGAGAATCAAAAGGCCAGCTATCAGGAGATCGAGCGGCGCATGGGCAACAAGGGGTACAGAGTCTTGCTGGTCGAGGACAACCCTGTCAACCAGAAGGTCTTGATAAAGTACCTGAAGAAGATTGGCGTAGATGTTGACGTCGCCGTGGACGGCGTCGAGTGCACCGATAAGGTGCTGTCGATGCCCCACAACCACTACTCCCTGATCTTGGTAGGAAACCCCTCACCTTTGTGTTGCTCGATGAGACAAAGGCTAACGCAGGCGACCAGTGTGACCTACACATGCCGCGCAAAGACGGCTACCAAGCGTGCCGTGAGATCAGGCAGTGGGAGGAGGCCAGCCAGTTGCCCAAGATGCCTATAATTGCGCTGTCCGCGAACGTCATGTCTGACGTGCAGGACAAGTGCATAAGCGCTGGCTTCAGCGACTATGTCACGAAGCCGGTCGACTTTATTGACCTGAGCAGAGCCATGGCCAAGTTCTTCTGAATGGGAGGGTCAAATCGCCAGGGCGGAGCATCCATCGGCTCTGCCCCTCTCTCACCAGCCAGGTTGAAGGAACGCCGAATAGGAAGCGGCTGTACACCCTATTAATACTTTCTCGGCGCTTTCGACGTCTCTCTGCTTGGTGTTAGAGCTCCTGGCGACATCCAAGTCGTGGACCACTTCTGGGAGCTAGCCAAGCCTGGTAATTGCGGGCAGCCTATTTTACACCTGCATACAGCACGGAGACACTGGGGTTTACGGATCTTGCCTTTTGCTTTACAACTTGTTTTTTTCTTCTTTAATCTTTCTGCAATGGAACGCGAGAGCGTTGCTGCGCTGCTTTTGAACCTTGTTGTGTCCGCGGTGCAAGGCACTCCACCAGCGGGGGAAGGGGTTATGTCTTTTTTCCTTCTTGACCGACGGCGGCTTACCGGCAGGGGCTGACCGACCTTTGCTCTTTATTCTTGTTATTTTCGTCTCATTTTGCATTGCGCCGCGGGAGTTCTCGGGGATGGAAGAGCCCGACGGGACGGGGAGGGGGGAGATGATATCTGACGGCGGCTCATTGGCGCCGCCTTATCCCCCCTGGAAATTGAGCCACTCCGCTTGCCGCACGAGGCAAGGAAACGGACGGGCTGCTGCGCGGGAGCAGGACACGGGGGACAAGGGGAAATGGAAGGCAAGGGAAGGGAAGGGGATCTTATTTTTATGTATAGATAGAGTCGAGCGAGGTAAAGGCGACCGATACCCCCGGGCGGGAAACGGCCAAGGGAAAGGGAAAGAAGATTCAAGACGAAGCTGTATTGCCGTTATGCATTCTCTGTGCCAAACGCGCCAAACGCGCCGACATCGTGAGGCCACACAAGAGATTCGACAACCTTAAGTCGGGCAAGAAGTGATAAGAAATACTTGGATCAAGCACGCTCTATTGTTTATTTATAGCCCGACATACTTTGCCGCGTCTACGTAAACCAATCCCAGTGTCCCAGGGCTACTGTATATATATATATGAATGTGCCCGCCAAAACTCCAAGTCGTGATGTGATCGTCGTGGTCTGAAAGTCGTGCAGGCGCGGCTGGCTGTTAAACAACCCGCCCACGTCATCGCTTTTACGTCTTCAAACGCCGGTGTGCGTGCCGCCGCCGCCGCCGTCACTGCCGTCCTTTTCAGTAGACGCTCCCCTGGATGCTCCGATCCTCCTTCTCGGCACGGTCGAGGTCTTCCATCCCGGAGTCGTCTGCCTCTGCGTCCACGTGGTTCGCGTCCGTGCCCGCCGGCGCGTCCCCGAGGCGGTTCGCAAACTCACCTACGCGAGAGTTCATCTCCTCGCTGTTCTTGCCGCTGAGGCGGCCGTCCGCCCTACTTCCACCGCCGGCACCGGTGCCGTTGGGTGAGCGGAAGCGCGCATTGATGGTCGCGAGGCGGTGCCGCCGCTGGGTGTCGTCTTCGGAGGCGTCGCTATCGCTTCCGGCGAGCGAGGCGTGACCCGAATACGTGCCGCCAAAGTCGCGTCCGACGTGCAGGTGCGGAGACTTGAGGCCTCGGGCGCGGTCCTCGGCGGTGATGAAGGAGGGCGTACCGTCGGGGGAGGAGAGGGCCGGGTCGGGGGTGCGCGTGGCAATGACCTCGACCGTGGGCGCGGGGCGGTAATCGCTTTGCTCATCGTCACCGTCGTCGGAGCTGATGAGTTGTTGATGGCGGTGGTGTTGCCTCCGGGTTGCAATGGTCAAGCCTGCGTTGCTGCTGCTGCCGTTGCTCCCCTGGGCGCTGTGCTCAATGTCCCTCTGCCGCAGTGCCTCGAGGTCGTGCCGCTTCTTATAGTGGCTCGTGTGGTTGCAGCCATCCGGGCAGCCGCCCCAGCGGCGCGTCACCACAAAGGTCTTGTTGCGCTCGAGCTTGACCTCATCCTTGGCCGCAGCGGCGGCGTTGCCGTTGCTGCTGCCGCTGCCGCCGTCCTTTGCGATGGTGAGGGCACGCTCGCGGCGAAGCTCGGACCAGGTACGCAGCTTGGTCTCGAGGAGGTACTTGCCGTTATCCTGCTTACGCATGATGAGGAACTCGCAATGATCAACGTTGCGCAGATCCTCAAAGTACTCGACGGTGAAGTGATACCACTTCATGAGAAAGACACGCGACATGAGGCCGTGCGTTACTAGTGCAGCATTGTCAGTCATGGGTTCGCCATCACGCTGCAAGGGGAGTCAGGCCGTACCTAATACGCAAACGCTGGCAAAGTCGTCCTCGCCGAATTGCCGCCAGAGGGACTCGTTGAAGCCGCTCACACGGTCGTAGGCGTCGGCGGCGCTCTCCCCGTTGGGAATGCGGTAGAAAAAGTGGCCATAGTCGGCCCTCTCCTGCCACATGCGTTCCATCTCAGCGCTACACGGCTGGAAGTTGCCAAAGTCCTGCTCTCGTAGACGGGGCTCCTCGTAGACCTTGATATTTGCGCGGCGGAAGGGCGACGGCTCGGGCTCGTCGGACGTCAACGTGGACAGGATGCCCTCGGTGGTCTCCCGTGTGCGGCGGTACGGCGAGGTGAAGAAGTGGAGCGTGTCGTCGGGACGGAGGAGGTTGCGCAGGCGGCGGCCAGCTTCGTGGGCTTGGTTCCAGCCATCGGGCGTGAGCTTTACTCGGTGATCGGGTATGGACTGGTGGATCTCGCGGTTCTCTGGGCAGGCACATGCGTCAGTTGGTCTGGCTGGGAGACATGGTTGATTGAGGGTCTAGGGAAGCTCACTATTGCCCTCCGACTGCGCATGGCGAACTAGAATAATCAACCGTGGCTTCGTCATGGCCACTGGACGAGACCGTCGGGGCTGCGATGCTCCCAGGGCCGGCGGTCAAGCGCTGAACCTTGCGAGTGAAGCAGCGGGGTGCTAATTGTCTGCGTTCGGCGCCGGTTCAAGGACGGCGGTTAAGCACACGAGACGGTGGCGAGGCGTGGATAGTGAGAGTTGGGACGGACGGCGAGACACCTGCCGTTGAGGAGGGCGCGACTTGAGGAGCGGATGAGGAGGTGAGGAGCAAGAAACGTCGGGTATATGCAAGCACGGAAGGATTGAAGAAGTGGTCGGGGAGAAGTCGCAGTCGATGGGCCCCTCCGCGGTGGAAGACGCCGGGTCATAGTGGGCTGCCGGGGGCCTGGTGCGGCGCCTGAGACGCCTGGAGGGGAACCCCAAGGCGGGGCCGTCGAGGTTGGTCTTCGGGGCAAACCGCTACCGGCACTGCCGCGCCAGCATTGCCGGGGGCGGCGGCTTACAAACAACCTCCACTAAGAACCTCCCGGGAGGTTGCTGTCCCAGTGGCGAGCCAGCGCGCTCTAGGGCCTGCCACGTGCTTCTCTAGCGGATGACTCCTCCGCTCTGGCTCGTATGGTACTTTTTTCGGCCATAGATGCCGTGCATCGCTGGAGGGAAGCGTGTCTGTCGGTTCTGATCCGAGAGGCCTTCAGGCGGCCAACCACGACAATTGGATATGGAGGGCCCTGAGGCTTTGATGGCGCCCAGGTAACTTGGGTGGTCTGCAGGGGCTGTGTTGGCTGGCTCCTGTCAATGACCTTGGCCCGGGAGCCACCCCTGGGGGCCCGAGTTGGTGTGGTGTGGGGGGGCTAGGTACCTTACCGTGGCGGCCAGCGTTGTGGTCCCGAGCAGGTAGGCAGCGCCCAAGTTTTTTCCCTGTCAGCCTTGTCATCACCAACGTTCTCAACCTCCATTCTTTGATCTCTGCGATTCCGCATCAACGGGGTTCCCGACACCCATCCTCTCTTCGGGCGCGCCGCATTGAGCAACAACTACGCACTTCGACACACGTAGAACCTCTGCGCGCGCTCTCGACCACCCGAAGCAGACGAGGACCACTCCTACGCGCTGCCCCTCGCGAACCGGCCTCCCACGCCTACCCGCAACCCATCCCATCACACACATCGCCCTCACCATCACCACCGCCATCATGTCCGGCGAAGGCCCCGAATCCATTCCCACCTCCGCCGACCCGCGCTCCCACCGCCCCACCAAGAAACGCGCCCTCACCCCCCTCTCCGCGCAAGCCGCCTCCCTCGACGCCCTCTTCGCCAACCCGGACCGCCCCGTGCGCGTGCCCCCCTCCTCCGGCTCCGGCTCCGGCGGCAAGCCCGGCTCCGGTGGTCCCGCCTCCTCCGTGCCCCCGGAGACGGTCGCGCACGTGCAGGGCTCCAGCGCCGGCGCCGGCTCCGGCGAGTTCCACGTCTACAAGGCCTCGCGCCGGCGCGAGTACGAGCGCCTGCGCGCCATGGACGAGGACCTGCGCAGGGAAAAGGGCCAGGAGGAGTTTGACCGCCTCAAGAGGGAAAGGGATCGCAAGGACGAGGAGAGGACGAGGAAGAATAGGGAGAAGAGGGAGAAGATGAAGGCGAGGAAGGGGAAGAAGGGCAAGGGCGGCGGCGGCGGCACGGCCAGCAACATGACGCAAGCGACGGCTCCGACGACAGACGGAGAGCACGCAGTCTCTGACAAGGACGACAAAGCAGAGCAGGGCGGCGCGGACCAAGCACCAAATGCCGCGACGCAGCCTGCGGGCCTCATTATCCACGACGATGACTGAGCTCCAGGACACCACATGTTTATGGACGATGGCTGCATATAGGATAGATCTTTGACATCGAGCGTTGACACAATGATACCCACATCACCTACCGTCGTCTTCCCACTCACTCCGTGTCGACTGAAGCGAGCTTACTATATCGAAGCTTGGTTGATCTTGTCTATTTTGAGTCCTCCGCGTGGTCTAGGTCTCGTCTCCGTCTCGTCCGCTTGTCGTAGTACAGGGGGTATGACCAGAGCAAACACACATGCTAGTCTTCCACCATTGTTCCATCACCCAACAGCCCTTGCCATCCCGTGTCGATACCCCATTAATCATCGCCGCCGCCGACTCCCGGCGCGCCGCCTTGTTGCGCCTTCTTGGCGCTGCAGATGTCGTCCACTCTTAGCAGCAGGCAAGCGGCCTAAGAATCATGTTAGCGTCCGCCATATCACGCACGGCTTCAGGGATCCGAATCTCACCTCAATGGCCGTCTTGATGCTCTGCAGCTTGATAGCCTCCGGCTCCCACACTCCGTACTCCTTCATGTCGACAATGGTGCCGGTGTCACCGTTGACGCCCCACGAGCTCTTGCCCTCGGCCTGCTTGGCCCGCAGGTCCGTCAGCACGCGCACCGGGCTCTTGCCGGCGTTCTGCACCAGGGTTCTCGGGATGACCTCCATGGCATCAGCCACCGCCTTGTACGGCCACTGCTGCACGCCCTCGATGCCCTTGGCCTTCTGAGCAAGCCTGACGGACACGGCCATCTCTGTGGCGCCGCCGCCGGGCGACAGTCGCGGGTGGAACATGACGTTGCGAGCCACGCCCATGGCGTCCTGGAGGTTCCGCTCGATCTCGTTGAGCACGTCCTTGGACGGGCCACGCAGGAGGACGGTGCAGGCCTTCGGGTCCTTGCACTTTGTGAGGAAGGTAAAGTACTCGTCGCCAATCTTCTCAATCTCGAACAGGCCGCATCGGGTGCCGACGTCGGAATCCTGGAGGTCTTCTACCCGGTTAATGATGGTGGCACCGGTGGCGCGGGCTATTCTGTTGTTGTCGGTCTTGCGCACACGGCGCAGCGCTGTGATGTTGGACTTCATGAAGAAGTGCTGGGCGAGGTCTGGCATATGGTCAGTCAACGCTCGGCCGCTTAGTTCACCAATGCAACCTACCGGACACGCCCTTCTCAGTGATGACGAGGTCGGGCTTGACGGCGATGATGGCGTCGCACATCATCTTGATCTGCTCCTCCTCGATCTGGAGGATGCGGTTCCAGTCCTCCTCTTTTGTGATCTCGATGTTCGTCTGGGATTCTCCCTTCTTGTATTCCAAGGGGCAGTCCAAGAGGACGATGCGAGGGTTCTCGATGCGGCGTCGCATCTTGGGGTGCGTAATGTCCTTGTTGAGCATCAAGCCGTCGAGGACCATGCTGTCCTCGATCTCGCCGCCGGGGACCTTTTCGATTCGAGCGTATCGCTTGATGTCGACCTCGGTCTTGCCATTGCCGGCCTCCCAGGTGACGGTCCGCACGGCCTTGAGGGCAAGGTCGCACATCTGGTCCATCCACCGCGAGACGAACTTGGTGCCGATAGAAGAGGAGATGAGCTGGTTCATGGCCTTGTCATCGTTGATGTCGATGGGCAGCGATACTTCGTCGATGATGTCGAGGGCGTCCTGGAGGGCGCGCTTGAAGGCGGAGATGATGACGACGGGGTGGATGTTGCGCTCGAGCTGGGGGAGAGCCTGGGCGAGAATCTCACCAGCTGTTGGGTGCGCGTGTCAGACTTGGAGCGGGATCGCTGAGGGGGCGAGGCACATACCCAGAATAATGACTGTTGTGGTTCCATCGCCAACCTCCTCGTCCTGCGTCCGGCTGAGCTCGATCATGCTCTTAGCGGCGGGGTGGGAGACCTCGATCTCTCGGAGGATGGCGTGGCCGTCGTTGGTCAGGACGATGCCACCCATGGGGTCGAGGAGCATCTTGAGCATGGCCTTGGGGCCGAGGCATGATCGAATGATGTCGGCGACGCTGTGCTCGCGACGGAGATTAGCGGAGCTCGGGGGGCTCGAGGGCGGTGACGGCAGGCAGGCAGCAGCAACTCACGTCTTCGCGGCGGCAATATTGGACAGCTGAGCTTTCCTTCCGGTCTGCCTCTCACCACTCCCGGTGTCTGCGAGGGTCGCGTCAGCTTCCGGGGCGGTGCGCGGGCGGATGCCGAGCTATGCGTTCGGCGGGGGGCACGTACTCATTACCAAGACTGGAGCTTGCATGATGGGCAACGTCGGCTGAAGCACAGTCGGGGGATCGGGGCGAGTAAGGGGTGAGGCGCCGCGCCGAGGATCTCGAGAGGACGGACAGGCGTTCGTCGGGCTCGGGGCGGGAAAAGGAGAGGAGGGCCGTCGGCAGTAGGACAGGTGTAAGGGATGTTGGTTGGAGGGGCGCGCACACACACAGACGGACAGCGGGCAGAAAAGTTCCCACGATGTGCGCTTAGGGATTTTTGGCGGGGAGGAGCTGCAGCGCCCAAGGGTGCATGTTAACCCGGTCCCGCAAAAGGAAAGACCCAGAAGGTCGCGATTACCCCACGGCGACGGCGCCTCTGGGCCAATCACGAACGCCTCGGAGCTCAACAAAGCCGCGACAAGCCCAGGGGGACGGACCAGAGACCTTGTGACCAGCTTGGGCTTTTCTAGCGCCGAAGAACTGGAGCTTCGAGAAGTGAGGCGTGTCTATGTCTGCGTCTGTGTCGGCGTCTGATGCCTGTCGGGGTGCCTGTGCTTGTGCCTGTGCCTCGTGCTACTGCATGCACTCGATGGGCGGGGGGACGGAGGCCGGCGACGAAGAAGAAGAAGAAGGCGAGGACCCTGCGAACGTGGCGCCTTGCGTCCGGGATGCGGGCGAGCAAGGGTATCGTAATATATCGACCGCCTGGCTGACTGTCTGGCTGGCTCTGTTGGCCTCGGGCTGGCTTGGTCCGTCACGCGACTCTTACAGCGACTCTCCGAAACTCCGACCCGGCGACGGCGTCAACTCCAGCACCACGAGTCCCCGACCGGGGCATTACCCCAGCTCATGCGCTGTTGCCTATACCCGCACCTTATGAGAATGTCGTTTTAGCTAGGGATTGCCCGCCGTCTGTTTGGGACCCAGCGACATGGAACCTCCGTCACGTCGGGAGCTTTCTCCAACAACTTACGGAGCTTCGATGTCGTCAGCATGAATAGTGGCCCCCAACTCAAATGGCACTATCCCGTAATGAGTCCCTTGGCTCTCAAATATGGCGACACATGACGATTACACCTCGGAGAGCTCGCGACTCATCTCTCGCTGCACATGTGTTTGTGGAGGGTGCCCAACCACTTCTCAGCTCGGAGTGTAGAGACGGCCTTCGACGTGTGCCATGTTCCTCCATATAAGACACCATCACCGACCACACTTATTTAGCCTCACATCAACAGCCATTCCCCGTCGGAGCATGGAAGTAGCTAACCCCGCGTAGGTATCTCTTCCGTGTGAAGTTTCCGCCCAGCTTGTAGGCATCTCGCTCCATTCCAAACGTCTTCATGAGCTAGTCACTTCGCCTCAACCAGCCTCGTCTGAATACATCTTCCGTAAAATATGCTGCATCAACAAGCTCAGTGTTTTTAGTATATGAGAAGACTGCAATATACATGTCTTGGCGAGGAGGCTGTGACGCTCAAGGTCGTTGCAGCTCCATTCCCGTCGTGTTCAGTGTAGGCAAGGCCGCTAATTTGTTCCTGAGCTGTAAAATTGTGTTGAGAGTTGGTGGCAAGTCTTTTGGTTCAGTTGAGTTCATATTTTCTTGGCGAGCGCGCACAGCATGAGAACGTAGTCCTCTCGCAGGTTCAGGGTGCATGACGCGACGGGTCAAACTAGTACTGAGGGCTTCATAGAAGCACGTCGTGGTAGATGTGCCTTTCAACCCGACGACGGAAACTTACTGGACATGAGTCGCAGTTGAAAAGTGAAGCACTAGTGTGGCATTGTTGCGTGAACGCAGCGATAACATTATTGGAACCGATACATCAATTGACGGCAGTCAAACACGACGGCCAGCGGTGAGAGTTTCCTTGGCACAATACATTACTCCGAGCCCGGAATGAGTGGCCAGATTAGGCATTAACAAAGGCCATGAAAGTAGCCAAGAGGAAAGAAGTAAGAACAGTAAACTGATTTGAGCGAGCCAAACTTAGGCACAAGGTGACATATCGAAAGTGGCATCCAAGAAGAGGTGCGCAGATTCTCTTTTGCAACTCTGCGTTACTATAGACTCTCCGTTAACACTGGATGAACTGTAGTTGTGACAACATCCAGCCGCAAGTGACTCGATCTCCTACGAGGACGAGAACAGTATGGCCTAGTACAGCCATCTAGATTGTCTATATCGACGGAATCACATCCTACACTACCATGCTCTACTTTCCCTGCCTCTTCGTCTACATCAATTGATGTGTATCACTTTCATCATACAACAACAGCTTCTAAAGGTTTGCTGGCAGGAATTCACACGAGACTGTCTGATATGCCTTCGGGTATAGCACTTCCCGCTGTCGTCGACGGCCATGGCTGTGAGATCGGGACGAACAGGTACGAACGCAACGGTATTATCTCGCAATAAAGTGAGGCGTGCAAAACCAACATGCGAAGAACAATACGCGCGCAGCATAGCTAACTGGAACTCTTGTGCAAGACCGAGTCTTGTCCTCGGGAGATGCACACTACCCGACACGAGTCATCAAAGCGCAGTATACGAGCTAGCGAGCATAGAAGTATTGACACCAGAACCATACTGAGCTGCTTTTCTCAGTCCACTCTGTTTAGGGCAAAGGCATCATACAGTCATCAATGCAGAACTTATTGTCAAGTTGCTTCAATTGATATTCTCACTGTGAACACAGGGGAGTAGACGCAGCTGTTCATCTGAGCCGTCGACTGGACTGCCAATATCACACTTGCGTCCAAGATCGTCCCTTGATGCAGCTCTACGGCTCAATCCTAGGACTTTGTCCCGACAAGGGCATCTTCCTGCCGTCTCGACATATCTCCTCAAAGGAGCCGGCTGAGCAGCCACTGAAGCAGCACCAGGCAGCCCGTTCCGCGCATACCCCTATCAGCGCGACCTTCAGGCCGCACTCGCAGCCCAACACTAGTCTCCTTCGTCCAAAGAGGCAGCTGCTCCATCACCGAGCATCGATCCTCTTCTTACTGTAGTTGCTCACAGTCGAGCCCGCATGATCCCTCCGCACATCAGGCAACCAAACGCCGCATGAGGGGCGTTCTGCAGCTGGGGGGGGGGGGGCCACGACCCGGCTGATGCCCGAGACGAAGTGCCTCTCCCCGCGGAAGACCTGACGACTGGAGCCAGCCGTTGCGAGGAACTGCTGCTGCCGCCGCATAGCGGCCTGGCGCTCGGTATGCCACGAAGCGAATAGAAGGAGTGATGGCTTCACGCCCCTATAGCGGCGGGACCTAACCCATTGATGCCCTCTCCGCCTTCTGGGCAGCGCTTTGCCACGGTCGACTGAGCAAAATGCCTCTCAGAGAAACGAGCAGCCGAGGCACCACCGCGATGTCGGGCGTCGCCCGACGAACCACAGCCTTTAACAACGTCCGCTCCATTCATTCATGTGCAGCAAGCACAACTCCGTCGCAACTCTCAACTCCGCCACGTCGAAATCTGCTCACACCAGGCCAGAAGCAGCATCTAGGCGAGGACGGAGCTAGCCCAGCCCATCGCACACGCACACCCCGTCCGCGGGGGTTCCTTTCTCCCGACAGTACGTACATCTACGTCGTGTAAGACCCAGGCGGAGGAGGATCATGGACGGGAGGCCTGGAACGCCAGTCCGACTAAGCAACTCCTGCTGTGCGCAACACTCCTCCGCGCCGAATTACGTACGTGCCGGCAAGACAACGCCCCCTCCCCGTGAAAGCGGGAGCCTGCAACTGCGCTGCGCCATTGGTACCACTTGGCCGTCGTCCCGCGCGGGAACGCGCTCTGGGAATTGCCTCATACAGCTGCCGTAGCCCTGTAAGTTGTAACTAACTTGACATCCAGTCCTGGCACCGCATCATCCGCCATGACTCGGAGCTCTCTGCTGCATTGCCCGCCTGGTCAGAGCTGTACCAGGAAGCCGGCCCACGACTAACCAGTAAAGACAAGCTTTTTTAGAGCCGATCCCGCCGCCCTCACTTCTTCCCGAGGGTCGCGGACCAGCGTTTTGGGACCAGTCCATCCCTGCGGGCGTGTGCGACTTTGCCGCCAGGCTCCAGGCGCATGAGAGAATGGCTCGTGTTTAGCTAGCAGCTAGCTAGCTACCTTGACCCGGGCGCAACGCGGGCCTGGCACCTGGCATAGCCATGCTTGCTGAAACGGCGCCCGAGCCAGAGCTGTATCAGAAACACTGGGTCCTCTCCCAGAGGGCATTGCCGTCTTGTCCACCGTGCGACATATTGCCTCACCGTGACGTTCGTTTACGCGTCCCCGGCAGCGTGGTTGGATCGTGGTGAGCGAAATACCGCGCGACCCCAGGACCGCGGCATCGCTGGCATGGCCCTGCGCTCCGCGAGCCGTCGCAAGCCAGGACCTGACGATGCGGCAAGGAACCGCACCCGCAGTAGTAAGTATGCAGCGCTAGCATCATCATTCGGTCTCATGGTCGATCGGGCATGGGTGCCGGACGGGATGAATCCTCCATGGCGACGTTCCTTTTTGGGGAGCCGAGGAGCGGCGGCGATTTCGTCTCGTCCACGTTGCACGCTTCACGGACCCGTATGTGCGGTCCTCGGCCCGCAACGGGGACAGCCAACCGTTTCGAGCCCGGTGGGTGGTAACCCGACGGAGCGAGCTCAAACGTCAGGCCTCCGTCCCGCTCAGGCAGGGTTGACTACCGTCTCGCCTTACCGTGGGCCAACACGTATGTAAACCACGGGCATCTGTAACGGTGGCTGGAAACGGGACGACCGGGGTGGCAGGGTTGACGGATGGACCGACGCGCAGCTCCCGGGGCGACAGAAAGAAGCAGGCAGGATGAAGAGATATGGGCGCTATGCTTGTGTCGTGTGTCCAAACAACAAGCCCCAGGGCATTGAGGGCAGGTCTCTGGGCTGACTTGTATGACTGTGTTTACTGCGTCCACGTCCCGCTCCACCCATTGCCCAGGCATCTTCATGCCTCGCGAGCTCGCCTCCGCGGCGATTCGCTCATGGCGACCGCCCATCGGCAGCGCGCGCGCGTGTGTGTCAGCGTTGCGGGACACGCCACGCCTTACAGACGGGATGATGCTGGCAACGGGGATCTCCTCCCGCCCGCGCCCCCCCGTCGGCCCCCAAGAGTCGTGATTGGACGTGTAAGTCGGGCAGAGCGTGTTTCAGCGTGCCTGTTTCGACAGTACGCGGCCGCGGCGGCAGCGGGCTCAAACACCACGTCACGAAAAATTTCTGTGACGGCGATCCAGAGGGGTGGTGCCATCAGCATTCAGCAAGCAGCAGCAGCACATTTCAGCCCATTGATTGAGCAACAAGCGAGCGAGGATACTCCACTGGGCCAATGCAACTGCTCAAGGCACCCCGGGACAATGTGGGCATGTCAGCTTGTGCGACAAGCCGGCTCGTCTGCTTCAAGACAGGGTCCCGCTGGAGTCGCTGTCAAGACGACGGGCAATTGGCACTTTACCCGTAACGACAGCTCCTCAAGCATGCCCGCCTGGGTTTGGCATTGAGTATTGACTAGTTTTCCAGATCTGGACGGGGGCCATCGGATCGGGAGATGCATCAATGGGTCTTGTGTCAGACATGGCCAGCCCGGCGGGCCATAGAAGAGAGAAAAAAAAATCTTCCTCTGTTCCGCATTTACTAGCCTGGCATGCCTGGCGCAGAGTGCAGAATCTCGTGGAATACTTGAAGTACGTAGTAGACGCGACGCCGCAGACGTGGATCGTGAAGGAGCATGTTCCTTGCACGATGGCGTCGCGAGAGAGAGCCAGTCCTGGACCGACCAGACGACTGACTGCCTGAAAGCCATCGGCCGCTCCGGTAGTCAGTCCTCAACGCCAGAGGCAGTGAGACAGGACAGGGTCTGCCCAGCTCAAGGTTGAATTCTGAATCGGACTGGTGAACCGCACCACCCCTGCCCAGCCAGCCCAGTCACGGAGAATTTTTTCTTTCTTGGTGCCTTTCCATGCCTGCCTGGTCGGGTTCCAAGAATCCTTTCCCGCTCCTCGCCTGTTCTTGCATGCCGATCGCATGAGAGAGAGCCGAAGCCAACTTCGGCCGAACGTCTCCCCCCTCCCAGCCCTCTTGGCTAACTAACACCCACGTACTCGTACATACGGCAACGTACCCTACGTTACCTACGTGACGCACCCCTGAATTACAATGGCATGTTCACGTATGCACGTACGGAGCATGTGAATTACATATGCACGCATTCTGGCCCTTCGCCGTACGACGGAGAGCCGCAAGCCCGCCGCCGCCGCCCCCATACCCCGTGCGACGTAGCATGGCCTGTTTGTTGCTGCTGCTGCTGCTGCTGCTGCTGCGGCATCACCCCAGCCGACCGACGAGGCAACGAGGCAAAACGAGGCGGGGACTTTGTTTCGCGCGTGCATGCATGCATGCGTGCGTGCGCGCGCGCCGCGGCGCCGCAGAAAGTTTTCTGCCCTTTTTTTCTTCTTTCATTTCAGTTTTTCCTGCATATGGTCTGATATCTTTCTCGTCTCCCTCCCCCTCCCTCCCCCGGTCATCATTGTTGCCAGCCGCCCGTCCTCGTCCTCGAGGTGGAATGCCGGCGGCGGGCGGCGGGCGGCTCGTTTTCTCTCTTCTCATCTCTCGTTGCTGCAGTGGCGACTGGCAACTTGTACATGCTATACTATGGCATTGTATATATCTCCCACCCTCGGGAGCTCCCGGCGATCGTATTGGATCGGGGGAGGGAGGAAGTAGTAGATGGGAGGAATAAATCAACTTACTATGGGGATCGGAGAGGGGAGGGGGGTGTGAAATTGCAAAATTTAGACACAGAGAGAGGGTGTGCGTGGACACGCGGCGCCCGGCGATGCGATGATGTGATGTGAGATGCACGCGTACAAAGAAGGAAGGCAGGTATGAATCGGGAACAGTGCAGAACTGCGCTGTACGTATGATGCGATGCCCCTCTGGCGATTGCGCATTGCGCATTGCGCCTCACAGTCCAGTCTCTCCTCAACGACGTCGAAACGCTTTTGGCTTGTCCAGCCCCATACCGCCGTTCGGCACGCAACCACTCTCGCTAATTGTGCAAGCAGCACTTCCCACACAGCTCTACCGCCAAGTTTTAATAGCTTCACCGGGGCTGCTCCACCGTTAGGAAAAAACACCATTGACCGTCCGGCCGCTTCTTCCTTGGCGCAAGGCGGGCTTGTCAGCTCACCCAGCTCGCACAGCTCACAGCTCCAGCAGCATTCCTTCCAACCTTTTTGCTGCAGGGGTTCTCACCCAGGTGGCCGGATCATGTTAAAAAAAAAAATTGGCCCTCACTCTCTTTGAGTCTTCACACGCCGCGGTGCACGCCGCCGCCGCACGCCCCTCCCGTGATTACGCGAATTCCTCCTGCGCCACAGCGCTGCTGCCAAAGGTTGAACAGCACAGCATAGCACAGCACAGCACAGCACCGCGCCTTTGTGTTTGGACAAATTTCCAGCAAGCGAGGATGAAACGAGAAGAGAAGTGAGAACAGTAAAACAAGGGGAGCAAGCTATGACACAAGGAAGGGGGTTGAAGTTGAAAAAATTTCCATTCTTGGATATTTTTCTTTAAGATTCACCGTCGTCATCGTTCATCATCAGCCCCCAACAACATCCCTTGCTCATTGCTGAACTACACTACCAGACTACTAGCAGTAGTAAGTTGGACCCAGAAAAAGGGTTCAGCTCAAGGGATGAGGCGAGAACACAAAAAATTTTCCGCACTCGTCCGTCCGAAAGTAGGGGTTCAACTGGGTAGTTTCCTCTTTTTTCTTTTCGCTTCGCTCATCTCGTGTAAAAGAGTCCCTGGAACCCAAGGGGGTTTGTGGCTCAACTCACATACCCACCCATTGAAGAGTCCCGCTCAAGGGGGCAGCAGGAGAGGGAGGGGGGCGTGGTGGAGGAATCTCGGGAGTCGGGACTGCGACGGAAATTGGCGAGCGTGGAAAAGAATGAGAGGGCGTCGGTTGTCCGGTTGCCGCCTCACTCTTTCTTCTTTCTTCTTTTATGTTTTCTTCAGTGGCTTGAAGCTGGAACGGTCTCAAAAACGCCCGTTGCTTTCCCTCGCCGCACATGTACTTGGACCCACGGCGGTTGAAGATATCGCGGCTCTCATTGGGAGCCATGGAGGGCCGCGCTGACTACACGCGTCAAACCTACTTTTTCATTTTTCCTTGGATTTCTCGAACACACTGCACCCCCCGGTATCCATGCCATCCATTGCGGCGGCGGCGGGGCAGCAGCTTATTGCGAGGGACGCTCGGCGATGCGCTGGCAAGGCCGAGGGAGAGCAGGCGTGGGGCAGGCAACAAGCTGGGCTCCAGCAGAGCAGAGCTTGCCCCAGAGCCGTCGCTGCCGCCGCCGGCGGGCCGGGTTAAGGTTTTGTGGGTATTACGTATATTGGACAGCCGCCGTCGTTAGCCAACGGCACGCCATTGTCGCATCACGCAACGGCAACAGAGGGAAAACAGACTCCACGATGGGGCAGCAACGGCGCCATCCCCCATCGCCCATCGCCAGTCAGATCTCCCGTCTCACCAGTGACTTCATGACTCCTATGGAGTGCGAGTAAACAACATGGTCCGCCGGTGTCGGGCCCCCATCCCCCCCCAATTCCCATCCGAGCGCCCCCCCAAACGCCACACCACCCTTTACAAGCTGTGTGTGTGTGTGTGTGTGTGTGTGTGTGTGTGTGTGCGCAACGCCCGCCGCCGCCATTGGGGGCCAAGGTGGTTCGAGAGGCGCAGATGATAAATCTACGTACGCACCACGAAGCCCCAATCTCGACCTGCATCTATCGTGGCGCTTAGATTTTTTTTTTACCCTCTTCGCCTCCGTCCCCCATCCTCCTCTCCCCAACCACTGGGAAAGCCAGATTGGCGGATGTTTGTTTTTGTGGGCTGGCTGGCTTGCCCCCGGACCGTGATGTCCGTCCGTCCATCAGTGACATTTGACAGTCCCGCGCTCGCGATCGCGCCGGCCGTGGAGGAAGCTCAAAGTCGTGTTGTCATTGCATCCACCACCCACCCACCAGTAGTGGTAGTCCTCCACCCGCCGCCGTCCAGCCTCTTGTGGCTTGCGAGCGAGGCGCAAACCCGCCTTGCCCGTCAACAGATCCAACGTCGTCCAGACCGTTTCGGCGGGGTCGGCTATCACAGGCTGTTCGGGAGGACTTGACCCGGCCGGCCAGAACGTGTGTGTGTGTGTGTGTGTGTGTGTGTGTGTGTGTGTGAGTATGTGTGTGGTTGTGTGTAACCGACCTCCGCTGGCTTGGGCTGGTATGCGGCGCTGGGAATCGGTTGAGGCCGGCAACAATCTGCCCTTTCCCCCACCCGGCAGGCTCAGCCAGATGTCACAGGAAGCGGGATTGGGAATTTGCCACCTACCGGCAGGGTCCAGCAAGGTACAGCGCTGTTGACTTGTCCAGGGAGGGCAGAGGGGAAGCCGAAGGGACGGCAAAACCTAGACGAGCATCCCTGTGACGCGAGTGGCATCGTCGGCCAAAGCACCCCTGAAGTTTGATCTCGCTTCTCGCGGGCGAAGCTTTCCTGCGGCAGGCGAGGTGAGATGTTTTCAATGCAGTGCACAAATTGCAGGAGATGTACTTCACGTGTGTGCATGCGTGCGCGCGCGTGTGTCTTTGGCCAAATCAAGGCCGGTTGTCCCAAGTCTTTCATTTCTTTCTAGCCTAAAGACGGTCTGTTCTGTGCCGTCGCTCTCGTAATGCCATCTGCGCCAGGCTTCTTCTAGCCTGCGGGTTTTATCGTGTCCCAGTCGTAACCTGCTCCCCGTGTAGCCGTTCCCTTTGCTCCCGTGCCATGCAAGTCAGCATTGATGTTGTTCAACTCCGTCTCCCGCATGTGATACAAGCCGCCACAACAGCGCTTTCAATGCCAGTTTCATCCCGTAAAACTCCTTGCGATACAGGCTTGCCACCAGCCAACTGAAAGGGCGGCGATATAAAAAGACAACAAATAAAAAAGAAAATTAAGAATGAAAGCTTTTTTTGTTTGGGTATGCATTGCTCCGTGTGATGCTCCTTCTTGATACAACAGGTGACGGAAGGAAAGAAAACTTGGGTGCGTATTGTGAGGTGAGATTCGAGCCACGGTCTGGCCAATGGCGGTATAAGAGATCAAGTGTGTGGTGAGTTGCGTCGTGGTTGAAGGTAATGCCTCGAAGAGGCTGTGAACAGTGTGTGTGGTGGTCATGTTTCGTGGGTATAGTCAGACAGGCAGGTCGTCTAGTAGGATCGCCTCCGTTGTAACCGGACTTGCTCGAAGGAGATGGCATAAGCCTTGAGCTCTTGCCTCGATCGATCCGACAGGCGGGACCCGTCCGTGGACGACGAGGATGTGCTCTGCATGGAGCAGAGGCTGGTGTGGGAGCTCGAGGGGCTGAGGTTCGAAGCCGATGACGACGTCGTGGTGAAGCGATCGCCGGAGGCGTACTTGCTCAGATAGCCGCGGGCGACGGGAGCGGTGCCGTACGGCTGGGGGTTCTGGAAGTCGTAGGGCGGTGACAGGTAGAGACCCGGTCGTGTTGACCTCGCGGACATGGTGGGCGCGGGCGTAGACCAAGGGTAGCCATAGCTGGGAGGGGAGCAGCCAGGCGAGCTGGCCTGGGAACTCGGCGTCGACGTCTTCTCCTGGTCGGCGAGACGGCAGGCCTCGGAGCAGTAGGCCCCGTCGCTCTGCACCTGCTTGTCGCAGGCGAGGCAGAACTGGTGTGTCCAGAGATCGAAAGCCATTGCGCTGGGCGAAAGGCTGGTCTGAGTTGATGAATGGGAAAGCGTTGGCTGAAGAGGTGGGTTGGGTAGAGGGCAAGAAATCCGTCGAGGAAGACGGCTGGCCGTATATAAAGCGTTGTCCGTCTGACGAGCTCAGAAGACAGGATTGCACCAGTGGATTGCGCAAGGCAAGGCAGCCAGCTGGGGTGGGGTGGGTGATGTCGAGCCGGTGAGTCAAGGCGAGCGAAAGCGGGACGGACGTCGTCTCGAGCGGCTGCCAGATGACTGGGAGGGTGGAGCAGGTGGGTGGTGTTACCGGAACGGCTGAGCAGAGAACAAGTTGTTCAGATGTTCGACGGCAGAAGGATTGGAGGGAAGGGAAAGGAAAAGTAAGGAAGGGGAGTTGAAGATTTGGGACGGCAAGGTCGAGAGGCCGAGGTGAGGTTGGAGAGCGAGGAGGTTGAGGTCGGGGTCGAGGAAGAGGGCAGCGAGATGCATATGTATATTTCCATCCGGTGCTGCAGCGCAGGCAGGCAGGCAGGCCAGCAGGCAGAGCGAGCGGTGGTGTGTGGGTGGGAGGGAGGAGTGGGCGTGGGCGTGGGCGTGGGAGTGGGAGTGGACGGACGGGCGAGAGAGCGAGCGAGTGGGCGAGCGCCGCGGTGGTGTGCGCGCTGGGCAGGATGACCACTTTTGCGAGACAAGCACGCAGTTTTTAGCGCCGATGCGTACCTGCCTAGGGATGCAGCGGAGGAGGGTACATCCATCAAGCCATGGATGAGGTGGGAGGGGGAGGGCGCTCTGCTCTGTCTGCTGCTCCTGGTGCTGGCGCTGCTCCTCACCCGCAACGCAAAGCCTGCAACGGCCGTGGCAGGCCGTGGCCCAGCCCAGCAGCCCAGCAGCGGCCCAGCCAGACAGGCGCCCACTCGGGACTGGCTGGCTGTGACGGCCGTGGGGAGGGGGGGCGAGGAGGGGAAGGGGTGGGTGTGCACCTGCCCGGGGGTCAGGCCAGTGGCGTGCAGGTAGCGCTGTGGGTGTGGGGTGACCCGGAGGGCGGCAGCATGGATGGGCCTGGCCCACAAGCCTCCTTCTCTTGCTCCCATCCATGGCATCCCATGCCCTGCAGCAGGGCCCCAGGTGGTGCAGCAGCATTGATGGGCGGGCTGGCTGCCACTAGCGGCAGCACCTGTGTGTCCTTTTTTTTTTTTCTTCCTCTCCCTCTCTGCCTCCATCGCCCGCTGATCAGGCCCTGCGACTGCAGCTCGGGGAGTGCGAAAGAGGCGTGCGGTGGTGGCCGAAAGGGTGTGCGCGCGCTGCCCGTCAGGGTATCGCTGCCGGGGGGCCCAGGCCTGGCGCTGGCGCTGAGCACAGCACTCCCTCTTCTTGCCGTGCACTACGAGCACACTGCACTGGAGTGCAACTGCACAGCGCCGGCACAGGCAGAAAGTGCAGAAAAGAAAATTTTGTGCCAACGTCGCCTGTTGTTAGGTAGCGCTGCGTCGTCGTCCGTCTGTGTCGGTCGCCGCAAGGTGTCCAGCATCACCCAACGACCCGTGAAAGAAAACTGCCTGCAAGAAAAATTGTGCACCAGCACGGGACCGGCGACGATGCGGCGCCCGCACCGCAGAACCCGCAGCGTTTCGTCATCTCTGGTGCAATACCTGCTGCTGCTTGCTGGGCCAGCGTGCAAGAAAAAAAAAAACGTGCCGGGCCCCTTGTTGTTGCAGGTGCATCTCTGTGGTGCTCGTACGTCAAATGTCGCGATCGCCGCCCGTACATACCAGAAGTCGGCCCACGGCCACTGCGCGTGTGATCTCAATTCTGGGTCCCGGCCCCGTCGGTACCCGCATGGGAGCACGGAGCTGCTCTCACGATGGCATGATGCCAGGCCCACGGTGAGGTGCGGAGGGTGACTCAAAGAAAAGCCACTGCCACTGCCACTGCTGCCACGGCCCTGCCAGCCTGCCTGGCTCCTCTCCCGCTTGCTAGGTAAGCGGACTCGCCGGGCAGGAGACGGGAGCCAGCACCTGTAACGAACCCCCGGCCGGCGAGGGCCCAATCACGAGGGCGGTCGAGCTTTTCCCATCGCGGCTGTTAGTGGGCTCATGGCGCTTCTGGGGACCCGGCCGGGGCTCAGCGGCGTTCGGTGAGGTCGGAAAGGCGTCTGATGCCATGCCATGCCACGAAAAAGCCAAGGCCGCAGTCATCTCATCGCAAGAAAAGACCCCGGAGCGGGAGTCCGATGAGAGTTTCGTCTGCTCCCGCCGGTGGCCGCGAAAAATCCCGGCCGCCGTCAAGGTTCCCCCCCGTGTGGTTCGCCACCCTCTGCTGTCGACGGATAACGGAGCACGGGGGAGTGACGCCAGATCTGCACCGAGTGGTTGTGCCTCGTGGAAGTGGCCAGGCACTAACTCGACCTTGCTGCTCGAGTGTGCCTTAGGTAACAGACTACCACTCTGTATGTTGAGGCAGACATTCACACACAACATTAGTGTAGTGGTGGCTCGGCCACACAGCAGGCCAGCTAGGACGAGTGCGTGTGCATGCGCATGCAGTTCGCTGCACAAAGGGTTGAACGGAGGTGGGCGGATGGACGCGAGGTGGGCAGCTTTGGGGACCTTGGTGGTCGCCGTTGGGGGTGACGCCGTCGCTGGTGGTTGGCCCCCGGCCGCTTCGCCAATTCTCAGGGCGGGCGCTCGCGCGCACACAAGCGATGGAAGCGACGAGCAGCGACGAACGAACCGGGGGCACGACGACGACGACGCACTGGCACACACACCACTCACACACTCGTTGAGGTGGCCGGGGCGATGTACATACAGACTGGGCTGGGCATCTCTACATGCTGCCGGCATGCGACTTGGCGACGCTCTGCATGGAAAGGAGACGTGCTCGTCGATGCAGCCACGGCATCATCCCACGAAGGAGATATGCACCGGCCGACACTCTGGCCACCAGGCGGCCGAGATTGCGCACTAGGGCGACGACGGGCAAAGGTCGATCCCGGCGTCGTCGATAGTGGCGGCCACCACCATCAAGGGCACACATAAAGGGCCACTACCAAGACCACCAGCAACAAGACCAAGTGCCAAGGTACCAGCACCACCACCCACGCTTGCCAAGGCCTGCCAGAACAGGGCGCCGCGGCCGCTGCAACGGCGGCTCGCTCGCATCTGCACCCGCACGCAGCACGATGGACGACGCTCTGCCACTGCCTGCAACCCCTCGCCGCCCGCGCTTGTTTGTTTCCGTGCGTGTGAAAGAAATGTGCGGCCTCGCAGCAGCGGCAGGTGGCGGCACATGCGACACCCGAGACCCTGACGGGCGACTCTCGGGTTGCCCCCTTCCCACCTCATGGAAACACTGGAATGCGTCGTGCCCGGCTGCGCCCAAAGGGACCTCTGTTGAGCCCGGAGGTGCGCGGCAAAATTGGTGGACGCACGGGGCGTGAAGCAGCAGCCGCAGTCGCAGTAACAGCAAGCAAGCGGCATCTCACTCGCCGAACCCACCCTCCGCGCCGCCGCCGTCGTCGCAGCAGACGGGACGGCATGTTGGAATGTTGAGGGACGGCATGGAAGCCCAAGCCCAGCCAGCAGCAAGCCTCCATCGCTCGGGGTCCTCGACTCTCCTTGGGCCCCGAGCCGTGCGCTGCAGCACCACCAGACGGGCGCCAGATCCAATTGTCTGGGGGGATGGACGGCCCTCGCTGCACATCTAAGTGGGGACCCCTTCTGAGGGCCGCTAGCCCCCTCTGTGGCTTAGCGTCCCCTTGCGCGATGGGGCTTGGCTCCCCTCCCTTGGTGAACAGCAGGGCTCATCCGCTCGCTCCACGGCACGCGGGGCCCACCTCTGCCGACGACTCCACTGGCTCTCTCCCCCCTTGGCGTCGAGCGTCATGGAAAGTCGAGATGCCGCCAACATGCCCCTGGGTTACGTACGCACATACATACATACATGCTCCCTTCGTACCATGCCGCGGGCGTCGTCCTGAGGCAAACAACAATCGCTGGGGATGCGCGTCGACGTGCAGCTTCCGTCATTCTCGGCTGGGTAGCGCAAGGAAGAGACACGAAAGGGCATGGCGCAGGGCATCCGAAAGACGAGGGGACTGCCGACACGCACGTATCTTCGTATCCAAGGGCCCTTCACCACAGTTGGGTGGCCACAGGCTGGCACAGCACCAGGAACAATCAATGTCTGGACGACAGACGAGACCTTTCCTTCGTTCAACGGTTTCCCCTTAAGGCCCAAGACAGCGCTCGGCAGTCCGCGAGACCTCTGCTCCCTCTCCCTTTCTTGCGAAACAAAAACGGGATGATGTGAGGAGGGGGACCGCACCTCGTGGGTGGTGGGCCTGCTGCCACATGTTCCATTGCATTTGCGTCGCGCGGGATTGCGTCGTCGTCGTCGTCGTCCGTCGCCGTCCGTCGACCTTTCGTCATGCTGCTACTGCTGCTGGGGCGGGTCTTGTCTGGCCTCACACCTTGCCTCGCCAGGCTCTTCAATCGACGCTCCCCCTCGCTGGGCTACGCGCTATGCTGTCGACTTTGTGTCATCAGGCACCGGGCACCGGCACTGTCGCCGATGGCTTGCTTGCTTTTTGCTGTGGAGCTGGATACTGGATGCCGAGCCGGGGGGCAGGAAAAAGGAAGCAAGTCGAGTTCGCCATGCTGCCGCGCTTGACGCACCTTGACCTGCAGCAACACCACCAGCACCAGTACAAGCAGCACAAGCAGCATTCTCATGCAGACTCGCGCGCGCGCGGTGGGGGGCAGCGGCGACCATTGGCCGGCAGAAAGCTCCGACACCAACCACCTCTGCCCCGGACTTTGTCCAGCAGCTGGCCACGAGACTAGACTGGACCCTCATTTTGTTAGGTTCTTCCGTTATCTTGTTGTTGGGCACGCAGAAGGCAGTCAATCCTACTCCTGTGTCTGTCTATCTGTGTCTGTGTCTGGTACAGTACCTGCCCAGACCAGCCCAGCCCAGCCCAGCCTAGCCGTTACTCCCATCGCTGCCCCGCAGATTGTCTAGCATGATGGCGTCGTGCGATAATGGAGGGGGCCCAGAACGTCACCACCACGATGCCTGTGGCTGGGCGGGACAGGGACTGAATCAATTCGTCTCGGCTCACTTTGGGCAGACAGGTGCTGCTACGTACCGTAAACAGGTAGTAGACAGACGGGCGCCGGGCTGGCTGCCACTAACGTTACTATTTGGGGGAGCGGCGCTTGGGAGAAGGGGTTCGTTCCTCTCCGTCTCTGCTGGCTGACTGACTGACTGACGCGGGCTTGGCTTGAGACAGAATGCGGACGCCTGCGGCGGAAAGCCACGCCTGTTCTGGAATTCGGATGCCAAAACGGGGGATGTGCGCCAGGGCGCTTCCGACGGCATTGAGAGACACCATGTCTCTCTGGCGGCGTCGCCTTTCGCCTGCGAGGACGCTGCGTTTGCTGGCCTGTCTGTTGGTCCTGGGCTCCTGGTGACGTCGCCAGTCGTCTGTTGCGCTGCTGATGTGGTCGATTGTGGTCTGCTGCCCAGCACAAGAAACATATGACACGATAACGATACCCAGTGCATCCCGTCCCCCCCCTAGGCCCTGTTTCGCCGGCGATACGCAGGCAGACGACCCGCCCATCCGCCCATCCATGCGCCCCTCGGAGTTCGCTCCAACCCACGGCCGAAATTGGGGACCCATGTGGTCCGTCCCGGGTCGTGTGGCATCCGCTCGGCAGGCTAAGCCTATTTTCGTCGTCCATGGGTGGGTGACGGAGGGCGGGGAAAGGGGACGAGGGGGGGGCTGCAAGACAAGACAGGAAAAGACAAGACCAGGCCTGGCCAGCCAGTGAACCATTGCGTCTTGGCTGCTCGTCGGCCACCTGACCCAACAGGTTGCCAAGCCCGGGCTCCTCGTCGTCGCCTGAGACACTCAAACTGCTCAGAAGACTGACGATGGCTCATCAACCCTGTTCGGATGCGCGGCTGCTACTGGTGCCTGTAGCGTAGGCGCAGGTGCACATCCTCCCCACGCCTCCTCGGCGACGAGCGTCTCCCAAGTCGATCATGAAATGCAGCAGCCCAGCCCCTGTCTCTTATACACATCTAGATGTGTATAAGAGACAGCGCCTGGCCAATCTCGACAACGACAGGACAGTCTCGCATCAGCTTCAGCTGGCCCGTTGCTGTTGCAGGTACCTACCTATGTACATACGTATCAGCGGCGCCTTTTTGCTTGTTTCGAAAAAAACAGTGCGACGAACCACCACTACCCTGCGTGAAGGACTGACTGCCTGCGGCTGCCTGCGGACTTTTCCACATGGCTATTTGGCGACTATCGAACGGGGGCGCGCGCGCGCTGTGGAGGAACGCGCACGCAGCAGCGGCTGGTGCTGCCGCTGGCGCTGCTGCAGCACTGGATGTGGGCTGACATGCCAAACTAACGAGCTTCCATCGGGTATTTGGAATGCAGACCTCGTTTCAGGCTATTGGGCTGAAGGCAGTGACGATAAAAAAGACAAGAAAAGAAAAAAACAGATACAGTATCGATTCTGCGATGAGAGAGCTACAGCCATCGTGGCTGTAATTGACTGCTCACACCCCCTCGAGGGTCTGTCATTGTCGGCACCAAGGGTCCTGCTCCTCCTCGTCTTTCTTTGGGCTACATCGTGGCACGAGAGATTGGCGCCGCCGCCGTTCGCCGTCCACCTGCACACACACACACACACCTGGACTGGCCTCCCTCTGCGCCTCGCAACCATTGGACGTCAGCTTCCAGTGTCAACGAACGCATCATCGCAACGGCCGAGATTGGCAATGGGAAGCCAACCGGCCAATCAGTCGCCAGCAAGGCCCTTGTCCTCCCAGTCTCCTTGGAGGTTTGTTTCCCCCATGGACGCCCCCTTTGAGCCATCGACCTTCGCTCCAAACCCTCTGTTCTCGAATCCGAGCTACGGTATCCAATCATCACCACCTTGGGCGCAGAGGCTCATCGAGAGTCTGGTGTGCGGCGGGGCACACAGAACCAGGCGCACGGCGCCTCCGCGCAACAACGGGGCGTGCCAGCTCGCTGGGACTCGTACGAGTTGGTGGCGCTGCCCCGGCTTTCGATTTTGGGGCGGGCAGGGACAAATTTGACAAGTCGTGGCGTGTGTCGACGCGGCTAGCTGCCCTGGGCCTGGCCGGGTTACAGTAATAGGAAGGTACATAACTTTTATTATGGCATTACCCGAATACCAAATATCCAGCTCTGTCCGGGTGGGTATGCTTCAGCCCGTCCAGGAGCTGCCTGGCCCTGCATGCGAGATATTGTGCGGTGCGCTCTGGGGTAGGCGATGAGACAGGGCGCTGCGAGATGAGGTTTTACATGCCGGGCACTGAGTGGATAGAAGGACGGGGCGGACGGACTGCTGTTCTCAAAATGATGATGTGATGTCGTCTGCTATTTTGGTCTCCGTGTGTGGGACCGTATTCCTCTCCTCCGCTGGAGCTTCGACCCACGCCGATCCAGCCCTACCCCCCGCGCGGTAAACACTGGGGGCGGGGGAGGAGACGGCCCAGTCTTGAATCTTGATGTCTTCCTCCGGCTCGCAACTCCCGACTCCAGCGACAAAAACCCCATCCCCTTCGGCGGAACTTCCGTAGGGGGGAGTCGTGCAGCGAGGAGCGAACTGCACGGGCCGTCAGTGGCCACCTTGCCTAGGTACTCGGCATTGCGGCTTTTCACACACACACAATTGTGCCGTGCCTTGCTGCGGGAACGACACGACGATGCCAGTGCCAGTGCCAGTGCCAGTGCTAATACCACGTCGTCTCGAAGCGTAGGTCGGGATTGGTGCTGCCGCAGAGGGACCGAGATGCAACACTGCCGTAGCAGTCGCCGGTCGGCGATGCGGAGCACCATGCGGAGCACATGTCATGTCACGTCCGCCTTCCATTGCCAGCCAGTCAGTCGTCGCACTGGCCGGGGACGACGACCTCCCTCCCTTTCTTCGTACTCGGTAGTTCGTGCCAGGCTCCTGTCCCCCATCTCCTCCAAGTCCGCCGCGGGGACGATGTTACGGCCGAACGAGAAGGTCTTCTCCGCATACACGGAGGCCAACACGGGCTCAGTGCTGTCCCGTGCGATACCGAGTGGTGGCGAAGAGAGAGAGAGAGAGAGTGAGAGGCCTCACTCGCTCGCGGGCTCACTCGGGTCGCCGCCTCATGCCCATCATTCGGCGGAAAAGCCACCACCACCACCAAACCATCGGTTCCTGCAGCAGGTCGCATCCCAGGTCACGCCAGTGCAACGGCGGCGCCCGTCCCCCCATTGCCCAGTTCGTGCTCCGCCTCTCCCCTTCCCCCCATCTCCCTTCCTCCCGGAGCGAAACGAACCCAAGAAGGTTCCAGAGCCCTCGCGAGGCGAACTGGTTCGCGAAAGAAGGAAGGGGGGGGCGTGTGCCCGCGCCATCAGGAGACAGAGAGAGAGAGGGCGCAGCGAAGTCAGCCGTTCATCACCACCATCACCCACCACCACCAACCATCACCTGCGAACGACACCTGTTCGTGCTGGCCCCCCCGGCCCTCGTGGCCGCTGTATTTCCTGTCTCTTATACACATCTAGATGTGTATAAGAGACAGGAGAGAGAGAGGGCGCAGCGAAGTCAGCCGTTCATCACCACCATCACCCACCACCACCAACCATCACCTGCGAACGACACCTGTTCGTGCTGGCCCCCCCGGCCCTCGTGGCCGCTGTATTTCCATGACCTGCGACGCTCTTCCGAACGGGCAAGGCTACTGCCGATGGGGGCGCGCGCCCACATCCCATCTCGGCGACGGCGAGCAGAAAGGAGGCTCAGATGATGTGCGACGCTAAGCCACGGGAGCGAATGGCACTCCCGGATCGGAGGGGGGTGTCCGGCTTGCTGGCCGGCCGGCGTCGCCTTTTCGCTCAGCAGTAACTAGCAGCACACACACAAGGAGGGAAGCGCAAAAAGTCTTCAAGCGGTTAGATCACGAGCCAAGCCCTTGCGAGCAAAAGGGCGTTTGCGCAGGTGAGCTGACCGAGATGGTGTGCAGCAGGGCAGACGGGTCAGGCCGCACCAGCAGGCAAGCAACACACTCACACTCGCACCTCGCTCACACGCCCCTCCTTTCGAGTGACGCCTTTTCGCTCCACCAAGCTCCCGCCGCAGGGCCACGGCTGATGTGAGAGCCACCGCCGCGGTCTCCCTTGGTGGGCGGCGCTGGCGGGTGCAGATGGTCTAGACGTCCGGGTGGTGGTGGCGAGGCAGCGGCAGCGGCAGCGGCAGCGGCAGCTTGGTCGCGACGGCCGGCCGGCCGGCAGGCAGGCGGACGAAAACAAATAAACAGGCTCAATGGGTAAAGCTACAAGCTTTCCCCGGACCCGTCGCCGCCGCCGCGCAAGGCGTGATAGTAATACAATGTGCGCTGCAATGTGCATTCGTGGCTCCCGCTGCAGGCATCTCGGTGAGCGACGGTCAGCGGTGAGGGCTGATGAGGGCTGACCGTGGAGCACGCGCTGGAGATCAAGTCGGAGCCCAGCCTGGGGCATGCATGCAAGGTCCAGGTTCCACCCCCGTACCGTCTCAACAGCTTCCCCCATGTCCCCATCCCATGTCCCCCCGAGAAAAACCTTCATTCGCCCAGAGTCCGTCTCCACAAGGGGGGTCCCGCGCCAGTTTGACAGCCGACGACGGCGGTTCATCTGCGATCCATGGACGGTGATCACCGCGTCAAGAGTGAGTTAGCCAAAGAAATTTGCCTTTACTCGATGTAGCATTAGCAAAGCCGTCCGTGGGCACGTTAATCACGTCAGTCGACGCAAAAAAGCAAAGCGAAAGAGCCCGCTCGGTCTGTCAATGGCATGCAGGCGTGTTCCTGAAACTGTCAAACAAGAAAAATTTTTCCTTCGATTGTGCTTCGGCGGCGCAGGCGGCGGCCCTTGGAGATCGCGATCCCCAAAACCCAAGGGGGGGGAGGGCGACGACGCGGCACACCGCACAGGCGCCCTGACGGCCCCTTGGTTCCTTGCATGGAATACTAAGAATATTTACCGTTTCCCGTTTCCCTTCGGGACCGCGGCAAACGAACGTGCACTTTCCATGCTCGCATGCCCACCCCCAGCGCTTATGCTCGGCTGGCTGTGGCCCCCCAGGAGGTTGTTGTAACGGGCACATGGAAGTGACAGCGGCACACGTCACGACACACACAGACATGCACACGCAAACTCTGATGGCAAGCAGAGCGGCGGCAATGTGTGAAGTGCCCCCGTCGCGAAATGTTCGACTTGTGAGGCATTCATTGCATCACGGCGAGACAGTGGGTATCCGCGGCTGGCCTCGGCCTCGGGCCTCGCTGGCCAGACAAGCAAGCCCATGGGCAACCATGTGCTTTCCCGTGCCTGTTCCTGCGTCAAGTGTCTCGGCTGCGGCTTGGTGCCGGCCTCTTTGACATTTGACAGACGCTCATCCTCTGTCCCTCAACGCAATGCTCCCTCATATCAAAGTTGCATCTCGTTATTCGCTCGTGCGCGATCCTCTAGCACCTAATAGGTTTCGTTACCCCGTCTCCGCCGCGATATCCACAAACAAATGCCCACACACCCCCCTGCCCACCACC